CCCACAGAAGATCGAATGGTCGGTTCCTAACTGACATGAAATACTCTACAGGCCGTATGCCTAATGTTCTTTTTCGCTATTTTCAATCAACAATGGTCTTACTACAAGATATGCTAAACTGCTACAGAAACTTCATATCCGAAAAATATAACTGTTAAGTGGCTATATTTGACTCGGCACGGTACTTGGGAAACCTACGGTTTGTTATTTTAACCAAACGCCATTGCATTGGAATTCCTGTAGTTTGTAATTACAACATTTGATTCTGGTGTGTGCTTAACTGTCATATCCGTAATACTGCAACAAAATGTCCATCATTTTATGCCTAAAACTCTGTTAATGGACAACCCACCATCATCTACTACTTGGTCTGATCAGCTTGGGATGAGTCCTCCTTTCCGTCGTTACGGTATTAGGATAGTAACGAGGTTACCTTGCAGAGTATCGACAAATAACCTTTGTAAAACAGTAAGTTTGATAAAAATCGGTTATGAAGCCTGAATATAACAACCAGGTGGTCGTTGTAGAGTAGGAATCGAAAAATGATTAGTCATTTGCACATCTAGACAAAGTAACGATCAATTAAATCTGCGAAGTTTCATGAAAGTTAGATAAGTATTATTTCATAGTGAAAACCCTTAATGTAAAAAAATATTATCTATCACTTCAACCCTTAATGTAAAAAAAATTACATTGAGAGTATTTGTTACATTTAGAGTTGTAACAAGGGTGAATATTTTTACATTAAGAGACTCAGTAATTTTTACATTAAGGGTCGTAACAAGAGTTAACTCGTAACCCTTAATGCTTCGTTTGTTGTTTAACGCAGCACTCGACAATATTACAGCTAAATGACGGAGGTCTGTAAATATTCGAGTCTAGACCAGACAATCCCGTACATGACCTCATGAGCATCGATCCACGCAATTGCAATACTATGACATGCATCAACCAAGTGAGCGAGCCTGACCATCCGATCCCGTTAGTCGCCAGTTAGGACATGCATGGGTTGCTGAAGACCCGGATCTTCAAGGTCGACAACAATTGACTGACAAGAAAGCTGCAAAAAACAACAGATAGTGAGTAAATATTGTTTAAAGCCACAGTCAGCAATATTCAAGCGATATATCACGGCGGTCTGTAAATAATCCAGTCAGTTCCTGCTTCGTCCTTCGTGGTTGGTATCATGACGTTGCTTTCATCTCTTGTCCTGTGTGGGGCTACTAATCTGTATCACTAGAATTGATTGGTTGGTTGGTTTGTTGTTTAACGCCGCACTCAGCAATATTCCAGCTATATGACGGCGGTCTGTAAATAATCGAGTCTGGACCAGACAATCCAGTGATTAATATCATAAGCATCGATCCATGCAATTGGGATCGATGACATGCATCAACCAAGTCAGCGAGCCTGACCACCCGATCCCGTTAGTCGCTTCTTACGACAAGCATAGTCGCCTTTTACGGCAAGCGTGGGTTGCTGAAGACCTATTCTACCCCGGATCTTCACGGGTCCACTAGAAAGGAATAAACACACGTTTTCAAGTTTTCTTGATCATCGAAGTGTGCATGCATTAAATACATGTAACTACATTCTGTGAAAAGGACACAAGTATAACATATAGCACGAGTGATTTCAGTCACTCGGCGTGTCAGCTATGTATATGAGAGTGAAGCGCGAAACGGCATGTCGTGGATGTTTACCATGAAACCTTCAAGTACGGTATCAGGCTGATACGGTCATATTCAGGGTGAATCTGAGGTTCGAACCAACGATCATATGACCCAGGCACACCTGAATAGGCAACTTTGCACGCCGCATTGCGGGGCATTATATAGACAACTGTACAGCCCTTGACCCGATATATTTATGGAGGAAGAAGTGAACATATAGATAACGTCTCCAACTATCTTTTGTATTATAGCACGACACCGAGGAAGTTTCGAGCTCGAGGTTTTACATTTTAAACCAAAACCGATGAGGAGTGTTTTAACTAATTCATGAACCGTCTTAATGCAAGAAATACCTGAAAGACATCCCGATACCCAATGGTGGCACAATGCACTAGTCGCGATATAAAACGAATGGCGGGCGAGAGAAAGAGCGCATGCACCATGCAGACAATTGAAGTCCCTTTCATCACGTGCCTCGGTTGTTCTACGGGAAACGAGTTGGTTAAAATACTAAACATGACATGTGAGGTTGCAGGTTCGATTCACATAATGTACTTTTCATGTGCATTTTGTGTGTGACTTTTAACCAGTAATCGGGGGTGTTTGAGGAACAAGAAGGCTCTGTCCTATTGGCAGTTCCAGCAAGTTTAATTCCCGTCATTCTGAACCCGATATATTTCTGTGAACTGATATGGTATTATGTCCACGCACTGATCGAGGAGTTAAAGATGAACCTGTTATATTCTGCTGAAAAAAACTTGTTGCCACTAGAGAGCACGTCTAGTCTTGAACATGAACTGAGCCAAGGATCGCATGTATATACCCTCCACACATATCATAAAGTTGAGCGGATGTTTATGAGACATCGATTCTGGACTGGACTCATAGTACTTGTGCGTTTATTGTTTGATGCAACACTCAGAAATAGTTCAGTTAGGTGACGGCTGCCTGTAAATATTCGTGTCTTTGCCAGACGACCCAGTGAGTGATATTGTCAGCAACGTTCCAGACCGTCAATTACACGCACATTGATGTAACAAATGTATTCACGCAGACATTGGGACAAGTATGTGTTTTGCTACATATCTCTTCTAACAGTTTGTACATAATTAAACCAACACATCATGTCACAAGACATTAATGACAAACATTTGAACAAGACACCTGTGCAACAAGCATACGATGACCTGGGATAGTATCAGGTAGTCGGGACACTTTCTGGGGCTGAATAGAAAGGGGGGTAAGTATGGTTTTACGCCGCTTTTAGCAATATTCCAGCAATATCACGGCGGGGGACACCAGAAATGGGCTTCACACATTGTACCCATGTCGGGAATCGAACCCGATTCTTCGGCGTGACGAGCGAACGCTTTAACCACTAGGCTACCCGAACGCCCCGGGGCTGAATAGCCAATCACTTTTATGAGTATTTCGTATATTCGTTATACATATGCGGTTCTCGTATTATTGTTTACATGGTTGAGTACGGTTTAACGTTGCTTCAAGCAACCACAAGGGCTTTGCACCGTGTGAGGAACCTGGGTCTATGACGGCGGTCTGTAAATAATCGAGTCTGGACCAGAAAATCCAGTGATTGATATCATGAGCATCGATCTACGCAATTGGGTTACGATGACATGCATCAACCAAGTCAGCGAACCAGACCACACGATCCCGTTAGTCGCCTCTGAGGGCAAGCATGGACTGCTGAAGACGTATGCTCTGCCGGGATCTTTGTGGGTTTCTATATGGCGACAGATGGTTGGCGTTGTTATCAACCACTGGTTTGTTTATAGTACAGACGATTATTTTCCGGCCAGAGTGATATATAACTGGTATAATGCTGATTGTGGTCTTAATCAACATTAGCTGATGGGTCTCATAAAACATTTCCTTCTCCGGAGTGGAGAACTGATAGGTCTATCTTTTGCTTCCTCCTGTATACAAGCGTGCAGTAAACCGCTTGACCTCTGCTCGTGACTGGGTATTGGGCGCACGACCTTGATTAACACTGGCCTAGGTTCGCTTTGACCAGCGATCTGTCTGCCTGTGCTCGAGGACATATCAGACGAAGCAGGATGGGGGTCAATGAGAGCGAAGAATTCACTGTCTCTCTCTCTCTCGCTCACTCACCTGTGCACAGTACCTACTGTTCTTTCTTTGTTGTTTAACGCTGCGCTCAGCAATATTCTAGCTATATGACAGGGGTCTGCAAATAATTGAGTCTGGACCAGACAATCCAGTAATTTATATCATGAGCATCGATCAACCTAATTGGGATACGATCATATGCATCCACAAAGTCAGCGAGCCTGACCACCCGATCATGTTAGTCGCCTCGCATGGTTTGCCGAAGACCTATTTTACTCCAGATCTCCACGCCTCCTAAGACAAGCATGGTTTGCTGAAGACCAATTCTAACCGGGATCACACTTTGTCCATGACTTGGGTTACATCAAATTGATAAACCTCCAAGACCTGCATCACCCCCACATTTATGTGGGAACGCCCTCATATAAACGAAACACTGTTAACTGGGTTCAACCTCACTTACTCACACTATACTTTGTTCTCTTTATGCAAGTGAGTATGGCCAAGTTACAAAACACAGTCTAGCTGTGAAGGCCCAGGTCAGAGAAGGTCTTCAGCTTGCTGTAAAAGGCGAATATGCTTGTCATGGATCATGCTCATGTCAATCACTGGATTGTCTGGTCCAGACTTTATTTACAGACCACGGTCATATAGGTGAAACATTGCTGAGTGTGGTATTACACAACAATAACCAAACAAAAAAACTGACATGTCTCCCTGTGGACTGGAACAAGTAGTCATTGTTATTACATTCAGAACAGGCCATTAAAAGATTACCTTGTGATTTTTCTTAATCTTATTTTTTGGGGAAACAAGAATCCCACCAAGTAAGTCTTTCCATCCCAGTCTGGTAGTGCATTACCTTGCAAGTGTTTAACCTCTGCATCCAGAGATGAACACAACTCTTAAAACATAACATACAATCTGAATACAATAAAACCTGTTAATCCAGCACTGTTATTGGGAAAAGCTGGTCTTCTGGAGGATTACTGCTGGGAACGTTAAAACATAAAAGGACATTACCCCATACTCATCCGGATGATTTTACAGGGAACAATCCTGTCTGGTAGGCTATTACCATCATTTGCCATTATCAGCGTTGTCTATCTGTATTAATATTCCAATGGCTATTAACTTCCTAATGGACATTGTGAAGCCCGGTGGAAATATTCTCATGGGCTAGCTACTGTAACATAATTCCTAGGTAACAAATGACAAATATCAACAAAGCACAAATTAAAAAAACAACACATTTATTCATATACAAACGTTTGAAAATGTTCATGTTTTCCCCTGAGTGAATACAGACCGAACTGAACTGAAACCTCCAACAGGTAAGGTGATGTTTCCAGACACTTGATAACATGGTCCATCCTCTTGCTGCACCAATCTTGTTGCATCATGCAGCATGTTTGTCCAAGGGAGACCACTCATACAATATCACAGTATTGCAGACCATTAACAACAACATGTCACACATACATAAAACTACCATGGTCTCTTACTGTACACTTGTGAGCTGTTCACTTGACGAGAGATGACTTTCGGCTGTCTTTTCCTGGGACTTCTTACTTACCAACATCATCACTAGGAGGGCTGGGATATGTATCAAGCTAAACCTAAACAGCTTCCGTGATGACTTGCTGTCCCCATCACGGTGGAAGCAGTAACCTAGGTAACAGAAGTATAAGTTAAGTGGCAGTGATCCAGCAACAAACGTCCATGTGGTCAAGTCTACTATTGGAGCCATGAGGCTCAGTCCAGTGGTCACCACACAGTAGCGGAAAGCTACACGTTTACACAGCGCTGGGTTTGTGACAGACATCATTCGGTAGCCTGCACGTGAGTAGTCTGGGCGGAGGTTCCAGCTGAGGGCGTTGAAGTGAGGAAACTGCCAGGCATACATGATCGCACCCAGTAGCAAGGCTCCTACAGGTGAAGAACACAGCATAGTTTACTCATCAACATAATTAACATAACAATAGAATGGTTAAAAAGGATATCTAAGGTGTTTTGTACATTTTGTCTTCAATTCGGAGACTATCAACAAACATCACTACCTACAGATATCAATCAAGTACTGCAGGTAATCAGCATCAGGATTCATGAATTGTTAGTGTATGCAAAAATATCTTGCTGTTTCAATGACTATGAAATCTTGTTAAAACAGTAGGTCTTACTGCATACAGTATGTGATTTCATCTTGATGAAGTTGGCAACAGTGTAGGCCCAGACAGTCATCAGTAAGTATGTTAATGCTGTTTAGCACAGAGTTTGCAAAGTTTCAGCTATATCACAGTGGCATGTAAATAATAGTGCATGGAACATACTAACAAGTGACTGAAATCATGAGCAACGATCCACACCATCAAGCCATGATGGCACGCAATCAGACAAATCACACCACATGACCACCCTATTCAATCTAGCTGCCTGTTAAACTGTTATAGTATGACTCTATAGTATCGTGGGCACTTTATGAACACCGTTTTGGTAAATCTTGTAATCCCCACACCCTGTCAACAAATTACTTATGCAAATCTACTCACAATATTTCATCGCTTGATCGAATACAAGACTCCTATATGACCGGCTACTCGTAAGTATACATGTTATCTTTTATATGATAGTTTCTGGAATGTTTTTAAAGTGGAATTACCCCTACCTCCATTTGAAATTGATTAGAAAAGAACCCATTTGTATGGACGAAGTCCCTTGACCCAACCTGTGTCGTATGTATACTGATTATGCATAATCCAAGACAGGAAGTGATGTAAAGCATATATTCCACACCTATCAAGTATCATACCACAAAATAGCCATACCACGATAATATCGAGTTGCCTGCCCTTGAGTCTCTAATGACAGGTACTTTGTTAACCGAACTCGGAAAAGAAAATCAGCACTGATCAATCCTAAGTGATATGTATTAAAACTTGAACAAAGAACAAGAAACATTTAGCATATACTTTACTTACTAGGATCAATCTTAAATTAAGTACAGCGAAAAAATAGAGTACCATGCTACAACAAGCAATAGAGTGTTGGGGACCTGTCTTAACCAGGTCCCTACTGGAGGTTAAAAAAATCAACATGATAAAAGTTGAACACAAACCTGTTTCCAGCCCGCCTGAACTCGCAGCCCAGCCCATCATGGGGGGTATGGCACCAACTACAGACCCCACCCAGGTGTTGCTGATGCTCAGTCTCTTCATCGGGGTGTAAGCTAGAGTGTACAGTGCAAGGTTGAAAGCCCCAAGCAGGGCAGTTGTGCTGTTCACACCCAGCCCCAACATGGAGATGCCTGTCACTCCACACACCCCAGCAAAGATCACACTATGAAGATGGCTGGAATAGCAAGAGAATTAGAGAATAAGACCTCAGGTACTGTTCATTTATAAAAAGTAATATTGAGATTTACAGTTCATTTCCTCAGACAACAAATAAATGTTAACAGCATAAGCATAGAAGCAAATGGTATTGATAAGAAATGTTTGTTATCACTGGTGATATCTCAATACCAATATTCACAGATTATGTTTAATATTGCAATTTAATGTAGAACGCAAATTCTCATCTTGCACTTACTTATCATGCAAATAACAAAGTGATTGTGAAACTTACCTCAGATGACCCCGTACCAACACTCGGTTCTTTGTGCGGTTCATCTGAGAGTCAAATGGGACTTCGAAGAACTGAAAGCAATAGGGAATTCAAAACCTGTCAGATGCAACCAAACAATCAGTTGGTCCGTCAGATCCTTATTGGTATTGATATTTTTGAAAGTATGAGGGTTCACTTTCATTAATGAATATTTTTGTGACCTTCATCTCCTATCTATGATCAATTTTACCAGCATTTGCATACAATCTTTGGATTAACACATCTCTCTCTCAATCAGCATCCAGCACATCATGAGTGGGATCAAAGTTCATAATTCAATTGAACTTTGAAGCCAATGGGAACCTGAATTTCCAACTTAATTCTTCTTACCAATACTGATGTCAGTAGTAAAAAACTGCTTTGTGCGGTGTTTATCTTATGATTATTAGAGCTGGGACGATACACCAACAGTACCATATGTGTATCACGATACCTTGGTTACAATCTGATATGCATCACGATACTTGCATGTGCTTTTATCTATGGTGCGTAAGCCATCTTTTTCATAGACAGGGTGGCCAAATACCTGGCACTCTGATGATTTACAGTTGACAGTGTCAAGCCTCGCGCAATGGATGAAAATATTGGAAATTTTAGTATAAAATCATCCCCGCATCTCATTTACTCTAGCCTAATAAGCTCTGTGAAAGAGAATGAATTGGTAGAGGCGCACACGTGGTCAGTTCAAGCAGGCACTGCGTGCACGAGAGGCACGTAATTGACCTAGCTTTTGGACGTAACCATGGAGATGCAGGGGGGCTTGGGTGGCTATTTTTATTTTCAGAAGCTGGAAACATGATTCAAGCATGTTCCCACATAGCATGGAAGAAGAAGGGAGAAATATAAAGTGTGAGATAGGCTTAGTTTAAAGAATTTATATTTGCACGACTAATTTGCAGAAAATATTTACGGTAAGAATTAGGGCTGCAACGAATACACTATGCGTTGATTATGATTTGTATCACGAATATAGGGTAACGAATATGAATATTTATTCACGAATACAATAACAACTCAGCAGTTGATGTATTATTTATTATATTCAGTGAAAAATAACATAAATTATTTGACGTTTGGTTAATTATTAATATATTATACATTCATATACTGCACGTTATCCAGGTACAAGTATCTGCTCAAATACAACAATGACCGATGACTACAATACTGTCAAATTATATATATTAGTGTTGTCTTTAAAGAAATCTATGCATATAATATGTTCTTAAGGATATTTTTAGGTACAGGGTATGTTGATGCACATGACTGCATATTCATAAATATTCGATTCTAGTGACCATGAATAATGAATTCAATTCATGAATGGATACGGTTCGATTCACCGAATACACAAGTTAATAGTAACAGCCCTAGTAAGAATCGATTTTACTGGTGTGCGACTGTGATAGATACTTGTACTGAGCAGTAAATAATCGTGATCCAGCGATGCATCGGTACATTATCCCACTACTTATGATAATATAACAAGAGTTACTAACCACATCATGACTTTGTTTGAACCTGCCTATCACCATGACAATGGATGATCATCATAATCATGCTGATACGACATGTTGGTTGTGACCAAAAAGTAAAGATTACCTGATTAATGGAATTAGCTGCACAGGAGGAAAGTCCAGTACCCAGTGTGCATAGAATGAATGTCGTGGGATCAAAAGCTCCAGGTGCCATTGCATACCCAGCCATTGATGTCAGCACAACCAGCCCTGCAAGATACAAACAAGGAACTTTGATTACATTCTTCAGCTGGATTGAGCATAAACGATGATACAACTGCAACAAATCAAAGCATTGTTCTTGCCATAAGACAGGACTACTCATTATAAGATCAGCAAACATTTACACCAGTCTATTCAGAGATGTTTGTCATTAGGCAGTCAACAAATGTCAGTTTGAACAGATATCTCAGTTCACTATAAAAGGTTGCAAAAGTGTACTGGCAAGATGGCTTTTTGAGGCTTGAAATTCCTTACATCACAGTGCCAATGGCATGGTTAAATAGTTATTGTGTTTTTTTACGTGTGCCGGGGTGACCAAGTCTGTTCTAAACCCATTTTCGACCTTGAACATGTTTGAATCCTCAAAGGGTTAGCTTGTATCAACTCTGTCAAAACATAGTCACCATAAATCTCCGCTACAAAATTGGCGTGTTTCAGGGGTGTCCCAAATATTAATCAAATATTACCACCAAGCGGTTTTTCTTTTAGCATGCAACCAAGAACAAAAGATGAGGTGCATATGTCCGACTAACTTTATGTAAACTTTCAATAGTTTCTGTGGAGAACCTTACAAGATATGATCTTTAAAGTAAACTTTCTGTGAAAAAAATCATCAAAATCAAAATCCAATAGGGCCGTCACTAAGATAGATATCCAAAAACGGCAAACAGAGTTTGATGTGTTACGTATGGAGACAATTCTCAGAAAGTTTGGAAGCATTTCATGCAGTGGATCCAGAGGAGATAGGATTTGAAGACAAGTACCCAAAAGACCCTGTGAAAACTTTGAATCCAATATGGCCGCAACTAAAAAAGATATCCAAAAACGGCTAACAGAGTTAGATGTGTTATGCATGGAGACAATTCTCAGAAAGTTTGAAATCATTTCATTCAGTGGATTCAGAGGAGATGGGTTTTGAAGACAGATACCCCAAAAACCCTGTGAAAACCTTGAATCCAATATGGCTGCCACCACGTGACCACTGACCAAAGTCAAAGAACAAAAAATATCAAGCAGCAGTAGATACACACAAGGTTTGAAAGTAAACAGATAAACAATTGTGGAGCAGCAGAGCAAAATATATCGTCCAAAAATACTTGTTTTTAAGTTATCTGCCCTTGGCCTTTGGGACTACAGCCTTGGGATTTTGGCGGGCCCTAGTACCCAACGGTTTACATACACACACAAAATTGAGCCAGTCGTTATTTTGCTAGGTCTGGTACAAAAATCGGCGGAATAATAAATAATAATAATAAATCGAACGATTACAATAGGGCTCTACAGCCTTTCGGCTTGGAGCCCTAATAATAATACACAACTCAAGCTGCTTTTTGGGTGCTGAAGGTCAACAGTCACATTTCCATCTCATGCCACTTGGTACCCATGTTTAGTGCTGGGTGAACAGAGGCACTTTTTGAACAAAGTCACTTGCCTAAGGAGACACCTATGTGCTACATGTGCTCCAGTGTGGGGCAGGACCGAAGCCCTAGAAACCCTCATTCACAGGAGTCACACTCCCATGGTATGAACAATGATGAAGATTGATCAAATTTCTAAAGCATTCTTGTTGGCACAAGGAATGCTCGGAGGAGATCACAACACTTTATACCATGTTGATGTTTTAGCTAATGAATACATTTTGTGTTGGTTGTCTCAAAGTTTGTACATATTTGCAGGTTATGCATCAACAGAGCATGTCATAACCATTGCTGTTTGCTAGTTATTACCTAGAAGGGCAGTGTATGTTCATATTTCAATAATCTACTGCTGATTAATTACAGGTATTTATGATATTGCAATATATTTGACATAATCATGACAGTTTACTCTGATCTGTACTCTTCAATTATTGGAGGAAATAAAGAATGTCTGTCATGGTAAAGGCAAAGATTGCATGACAGTAACTTTAGATTACATATTATCCACTGCTTTACCAGTTAGTCTGATCTTGGAAAGCTTGAGGTAGTACTGGGGTAGCTTCCTCAAATCAAGTTGACATTCTCTCCACAGATTATCGTCAGTAGCTGTCGTAATCTTTGGTGGTACTGTGATGTCCACAGGAGGCGCTGGTATGAACAATGTTTCCACCTTATTCTTTGAAGGCGAAAATGGAATGTCTTGTCCTAGTGGCAGAATAACACTTAAATTTCTACCAACATTTTTCGCATTGAGATGCACTAGCTTTGCTGCTGTGCGAAAGTGAAGTGACACATAGTCCTTGGGTGTAGCTGGAGGGGCCAGTGCGATGTTGTCCAACTCATCATCAGAGTTGGACCCTTCAAAGGTACCTGGGGATGGTTTCTCATCAGAGACTGCACGAGTGTCATACTGTAAAATATGAGAGAAATATATTATTCTTCTTTATCATGTACTACAACATTAATTTAACTGCCAAAAGAAGACTCCCATTTTATGTGGCTAAGAGCTGATTAGCACATTGTGTAATTCCAGGCACGATAATGACAGTGTTCCTCAGGCTGCACCATACCAACTAATCATGCTAATGCTTGTGGGTTTCACCAAAGTGGTCAATGTCTAACACCTGTATCACTTTTCACACTTCAACATGATGTTATATAACTGATATTCTGTTCAAAGGGATAAAAACTGAAATAAGCAAAATACACTGGCTCATTCAGCCACTATTTGTATCTATAATTTAGGCCCTTAGGACAAAACTCTGTATGTACAAGTTATCTTTTTATCCCCAAGCAGCTGTTTTCTCTAAGCTTCTCGTCATTTAAAAAGCAACTGAAACAACAGCTTGTTGTCTTTCAACAGATCAAATTATATATAAGTTGAGATAACAGAACATTTGTTCTTAATTTACACAACCAAGACAAAATAAGATACTTTTTCATGTTTCTCGTGTTTGATTTCAAATTTATGAAGGTTTTATGAAGGTAATACATGAATCGTGTGAAAAAAAACACTGTACAAACTTACGTGTCTTAAATGATGCGTGCATCCAGCTGAAAAGGCCTTCGTGTGTAACGTCCTGTGTCTGGTTAATTGTTGATCGCTTATTGCCAGCAGACGCCTCCATCGGACGCGATTGATCCTCGCCAAGGTTATACAAGGGTTACATGACAGACGCATCGTAACCGGCAACACAAGCAAAATGTCGGTATTTACCGCTCAGCCTAATATTTTTGGGATTAGAGTTAAATACTTTAAAGTATATCGTCACATATGTCATTCTATATGTTGTTCAAGATCACATAACACTCTTTCCATCACGACACACGTTCTTCTGGTTCGCGTACTTGACTTCCGGGTGGCATCGGAAGTAGTATTGGTCATGTTAGAAGCGAGATCTCAAATCGTGTATCGATAGAAGATGGGGAAAGGCAAAACTCCCGGTATCGCTAATAAGGAAACTTTTCAACGTATCAACTTTTTGTATCAGGTTAGGAAATCACATGTCATACATGTAAATTGCGTTATCTGCATAAATCTATCAGCTGACAAGGATTTATTTAACCACGAAGGGTTGACAACTTCTATTTACGTATACGTCTCACGCCAATTCATGTTTATATTTACTGTTTTTATCATTGGGAACCCTTTTTGTGTGTATGATATATTATCCTCAAGATCAAACTAGAATTTCTTTTCATACCCTCCTGCTAGAGTTTAGTGTAGCTAAGCTGCTTTGTTTATGACACACATAAACAGCTGCTAACCTGTGTAACTGTTTAGTTTAGCATATGAACAGAAATAAGCATACTCGAAGTCATATCAACTACTTAGCATTTTAATAAACAGGTTAAAGAATTATTTGGGCAGTCTCAGAATGTGAGCAGTCTTGTCATGCTTATGACATGTTCCACAGAAACTTGTGACTATCTGGGTGACACTTTTTCATGATAACAATTGAGCAAAAGATTAGTTTTAGCATCATATTTCTTGATACTATGGAATCTAGTAATCTAAGTACATTCGAAAATGTCACAATTTGATCATGGATTAAAAGACAAATACAACTTTTAAATTGTTAAAATTCTTCATAGTCCTAAACAAGATTTCAGTGTTTGTCCTCTGTTTTCTTCAGGCAGCGCACCAGTGTCTGGAGACCTCTCCACATGATGTGAGTCTGTGCCGGTATTACATTCACACACTGAAGACACTTGCCAAGAGACAAGTTCTCCGATTGTAAGTTCATCAGATATGAAGAATATACTTCTCATGTTTTACATGAAGTCACACAAACAAAACCTGCTGTGTTATGTTCTTGGATTTCCAAGAACTTTCATTTCTAACTGTATTAGATATTATTTTGACCAACATCCAGGGTGACAGGTTGTCTGATGAGGGATTTGTGGGAATGATGGAGTGACATGGGTATAGTCAAGCAGCCTCGGCAATGTAGATATATAGCTGTCATTTGTCTTTTATTTGAACAGCCGTGTTATAGTCAAATATGTCAAGTTGTGATAAACACATGATAAATGATGCAAGTGTAGACATTCTAGTGTTTGAAGTATTAACTTTAATATTTCTTTGCATTTATGGAGTGTAAACGTAAAAATCAGTGTGCACACTGTGTAAATCTGTGTAGTGGATTTAGGCAAAGTGTGCACACCATATTTTACATTTATATCTCCATAAATGCAAAAAATATTGAGTCAATTCTTAAAAATATATTTAGTCAACAATAATTACTTCTCAGACTGCTTATTTAATGACTAATACACACAACACTGTAGACAACACTACAAAATCAGTGACATCGTTAAGGGCAATAAGTCAACACAAGTCCTGCCCATTCTATTATCAGCCAATCAGGAAACAGTAGTTTCTAAGTGGGTGTGGCCAATAAAATTTCAGTTTATGCCAAAAATGTGCTTGGTTAGCCAATCAAATGCTACAGAAGCCCTTGCAATTTATTTATTAAATATTAACCGTGTTAACCTGTCAATGATTCCAGAGAGTAGTCACAAGCACATCAGTCAGAATCTACATGAGGTACCATGACGTACTTGACCATGTTCATGTGGAAATTGTTTTCCATCCTAAATTTCTTCCTATTTTGAGGAAAATCCACCCTGCCGTTCATGAAATTACATCCATGCCCTTTTCAGAGATGACATTTAAGCCTTAGTATCATTAAAATAACATCTATTACTCCTGTAAGATACCTCTATGCATGAAGATCTGATGACCCCTTTTTAGGAGATAGCATCCAATGAACCTTCTAATCAGCCAATCCACTACATTCTCAGCACAAGGGGGGTGAATGAAACTTTTAGAGATCCATATCTTATTTCTGTATCTCGAAAAAACAAACTAACCAGCCAGTTCTGAATGTAAATGGGTATATTTTTGTGAATATTTTTAACATCTTGTCATTTCTGAGTGCCACTGGCACCCACACCCAAAAATGGAGTACCATCGTAGGGATATCTGTGTTCTGTGTGGGTTTTCTTATGTAGAAATGTCCAAGTGAAGGTGACAAAGAAATGAGCCTGAATGGTTTAGAAAGCTGACATACAGACATCTGAAGGGCTTGAGAACCCACACATCCGGTATTTAGATTTGGCGGTCAAAGTTTACTCAGGGGTGATCTGATATGACCTTCTGTGGAGGGGTCGTCACATCTCCACACAGAGAGGTACCTTACTGGAGTAAAAGATCTCAGATTTTATTGAGGTTGTTTAAAAGTAGGGATGCCATCATGTATCATGATATGATGTATCGATATATTTTTAATTTCGATCTGTACCAATACCAGTTCATGAATATCAATACCACATTAATAGTTCACTGCTACAGACATTTTTACATTTATTAACATGAACATGGTATAGATTGACAATGAGAAGGCAGACAATTCTATTTTAGACATGTGATGGATCAGCCTTGTTCATATTTAGCATGAAATTGATTAATTTCAGGTCTACATAGGTAATTTATATCTGTACACATACAGAATATTTAACTGTTTAAGTGGATATATCAACACTAGACTGTCCAATCAATGACACCTCTTCATAAGAGTTTGTTAATATATTGAGATCTAATATTTGTGAACCAATGATCTTGTGTTATCACTTTATCAACAGACTTGCTTAAGTGTAGAATATCTGCTAATTCATTATAATAAGCATGAGAAGAGGTATGGTTTCTCATCATCAGACACCCAGACATGAGGCGAACGCTGTGCAAGATGTGCAGTGTGCTGCTGTTGCCGGGGGTGACAGCAAGAGTCCGGACAGGCAGTGAGTATCCTACTGAGGGCAGGGCGTTCTCTCACAAACAGCCCAGGGGTATTATCATGATAATGTTTGTAGAAAGTTTAAGGTTTCTTTGGGAAATCTGGAGTAGAAGAGGTCTTCAGCAACCCGTGCTTGTCGTAAGAGGCAACCAAGGGGATCGGGTGGTCAGGCTCGCTGACTTGGTTGATGCATGTCATCGATCCAAATTGTGTGGATTGATGCTCATGATGTCGATCCCTTGATTGTCTGTTCCAGACTGGATTATTTACAGACTGCCATCATATAGCTGGAATATTGCTGAGTACGGCATCAACAAACAAACAAACAAATCGAGGCCAGGTCTTTCTATCACAACAGCCCGGGGATATTATGTTTGTGTTAGACAGTTTATGGTTCCCCGACAGCTCACTATATAAGTAGGCTTCTTATCTGACATGTGTCTCAGACATTCCCCTGAGGAACACCTCTATTACATTGGAGCTCAGGGTCTGTTGTCAGGAGAGAAGTTTGGGACCATGACATAATTTTGCCTAAAGAACATGATTGAAAACAGGTCATTTTTATAGAAGTGATGTCTTTTTTTTATAAGTTTGTCAATATCTGTCAACATGGTCAATGTAAGCATTGCAAACACCACAAGAACTGTTACAATCCTGTAGTTATTCTGTTATAATGATGTTGTAATTTCATTTGGACCAAGTTGGACATATACTGAAACACTATGAAACACAATGGTAGTTATTTACAATTTTGAAGAAATAAATATGGTGAAGTTCTCATAATTTTCTAAGAAAACATTGTATCAGACAAAAATATTGAGTTTGGGTTTTTACTGGTCAAATGACTAGAGAGACAATAACCGAAGAGCTCATATTTATTGTGTGAATGTGGCAAACAACTGTCCTTTTTTGTTTGTGGTGTTTATTAAACCCAGACCTCAACAGTCTAAGTGGGTGAGGGTATATAGTTATACCGAGGAATGCCGTCCGTCCTCCCGATGACATTGATTTACCGGGGTATGTGACCTATAACTTGAAAACTGCTCAATAGATTCTTTTCAAACTTGGTGAACAGTCTTTATACCAATAGGAGAGGAGCAGTGAGGTATTTGATTTCAATGTTTGGAGTTTCTGAAAAAATACAGCTTTTTTTCCATTCTTTTACTTAGAATTATTTTACTAAAACATTTGTGTGATCTATAACTTGAAAACACTACTATTTCTTTTGAAATTTAGGAAGCAGTTTCCATACTAATAGGTGAGGAGCATTGCAAAATTTGGTTTTGATATGTGCATTTTCTGAAAAGATATGATGTTTTGCATGTTGAGAACTTAGAATATTGTTTTTACTTCAACATTTGTGCAACCTATGACTTGAAAACTACTTCATGGATTTTTTTCCAACTGGAAAATATCAATAGGAGCGGTGCAGTGTGAAGTTTGTTTTCAGTATTTAGATTTTCGAAAATAATATAGCTACAATAGCTATAATCATGGTAATATGTACTATTTATATTTTATTATTTTACTTAGAACTAATTTACTGAAACATTTGTGCGTCCTGTAAGTAGAATACATATTCATGGATTCTTTTCAAATTTAGGAAACAATTTCCTTACTAGTGCAGTGCAGAGATTATTTTTGTATGTGTATTTTCTGAATAAAGATGTGATTATCTTAATGTTTTGAACTTGACTATTTCTTACATTTGTGTGCCCTATAACTTTAAAACTACTTCATGGATTCTTTTGCAATTGGGGTACAGTTTCTATACCAATAGGTGTTGATTTCGGTAAGTGGATTTTCTGAGAAAAGATTGCTTTTTTCATGTTTTGAACTTAGAAATACCTTAGGTATATGGGAAGATAAGTCAGGGAATGAGTGAGCCCTGATCACTCTTTGTCTTGTTATGATTATGTTTGTATTCTATTCAGAGAAACAGATCAAGTTAACACAAGTCACCTGTTTGGAATGTGGAGCTAGCAAGAGGTTTCCATGGAAACCAGATCATCAGCTTTGGGCAGACACAGAAGAGGCATGGCTTGCAAAAACCTGATCCTCCTGAAGACACACAGAGGCTTCATCACAGGTCGTCAGATTGGGTTTTCCAAAAATGGAACACTATGTGTCTGAAATCTGAAGTATCCCTGTGGAGCATGTTTAGAGATGCATCCTTTAGGCTTGTCAGAAACCTGTGATCTTCCCCGATTCCCTGGACAATATTTCTAGGTTTGTCAGCACTATACCTGTGCTCCTGGGTAAACCAAAGTAAACTATCAATTTGTAAGTCCTGCATCACAGCTTTAAGAGTGAGGAAGGCTGGATGAGGAACAGTATCTCTTTTGGGGCAGTCACCCAGAGGCCTGGGATCTGTGAACATTGTATGTCCATGTTTAAAGTCACTTCAGGAAGCCTGAAGTGGAGTGTTTCTCTTTCTGTGAAAAGAAAAGAAAATGAAATACATACATCTAGCTCTACAACAGAAATAGTCACAACAATGCTGGCAGGTATTGATAGTAACGAGGAACACATGCAAGTACTGGCCTGTGATTCACGCTACTTGAGCTAGTGTTGAATACATACCACCTGTGTTTCTCTATCTTTCTTCTTCTTACCATTATGTAAAAGATGGAGAATGTGTTCATTCAACATGGGACCACCTCCGTGGTCTAGTGGTAGAGCATCTGCCCAGAGAGCAAAAGGTCCGGGTTCGATCCCTGGCTATGTCATACCAAACTATGTTAAAATATGGTAATTCTTGTTACCCTGCCTGGCACTTGGCATTAAGGGGCTAAAGCAAGGACGGGCCGGGTCGGAGACAGTCTCTGTGTATGAGTGAGGTATTCATGTTAAACTGTGGCATGGTATCTCAGTGGGCTAGCAGTTGGTCACAACTAGTACAAGAGGCCACACACACATGTGCATGCACGTCATTATATAAGTGCAATAATCTTGAAACATGATGTTAACCCCATTTCACATCATTCAACACGGTTGACAGATCATAGATATTGAAAGAAGTGAAAGGAATTAAACTTTGTGAAGATATTTTGTAGTTGTTTTAATTCATTAATGCTGTGTGATGCTGATCCAAGATTGACATCGGATGACTACGAGTGAGTGAGTGAGATTTATGCCGCTTTTAGTAATGTTCCAGCAATATCACGGCGGGGGACACCAGTAGTGGGCTTCACACATTGTACCCGTGTCGGGAATCGAACCCAGGTCTTCGGCGTGACGACCAAACGCTTTAACCACTAGGCTACCCGACTGCCCGGATGGCTGCGAGAACTCCGGAGCAGGGCAGTGATGACAAGAGTATGACCTTCCTGAATTAGTGAGATAAAACCCACTGGGTACGGTCTGATGCTATCACTGTCAGGATATGGTTTGTCTGGCCCCCAATACCTTGTCATATAGATGTTGCTGACTACACTTTGGGTCACTGTGGTGTAACTGTGATGTTGCTGGCTACACTTTGGGCCAGTGTGATATAGCTAAGATCTTGCTGGCCATACTGTGGGCCAGACTGGTATAACTGATGTTGCTTGCTGCACAGTGTACCAATGTGATACTGCTGGCTAGTTTTTGAGGCAGTGTGGTATAACTGATGGCTACACTTTAGGCCAGTGTAATATAGTGAACATTTTGCTGGCTACACTTCGTAACATTGACATAATTAGGATGTTGCTAGCTATACAGTGTTACAGTATGATATAGCTACAATGTTGCTGGCTATACTGTGGGTCAGAATGATATATAGCTAACATTTTGCTGGCTATATTGTGGGCCAGTGTGGTATAACTGATGTTGCTGGCTCCACTTTGGACCAGTGTGATATAGCAAAGATGTTGCTGGCTTTTCAATGGGCCAGTGTGATAGAGCTTAGTTGTTTCTGGCAACACTGTGGGCTAGTGAGGTATAACTGATGTTGCTGGCTCCACGTTGGACCAGTATGATAGAGCTTAGTTGTTTCTGGCAACACTGTGGGCTAGTGAGGTATAACTGATGTTGCTGGCTCCACGTTGGACCAGTATGATATAGCTTAGATGTTTCTGGCAACACTGTGGGCTAGTGTGGTATAACTGATGTTGCTGGCTCCACGTTGGACCAGTGTGATAGAGCTTAGATGTTTCTGGCAACACTGTGGGCTAGTGTGGTATAACTGATGTTGCTGGCTCCACGTTGGACCAGTATGATATAGCTTAGATGTTTCTGGCAACACTGTGGGCTAGTGTGGTATAACTGATGTTGCTGGCTCCACGTTGGACCAGTATGATATAGCTTAGATGTTTCTGGCAACACTGTGGGCTAGTGTGGTATAACTGATGTTGCTGGCTCCACGTTGGACCAGTATGATAGAGCTTAGTTGTTTCTGGCAACACTGTGGGCTAGTGAGGTATAACTGATGTTGCTGGCTCCACGTTGGACCAGTGTGATATAGCAAAGATGTTGCTGGCTTTTCAATGGGCCAGTGTGATAGAGCTTAGTTGTTTCTGGCAACACTGTGGGCTAGTGAGGTATAACTGATGTTGCTGGCTCCACGTTGGACCAGTATGATAGAGCTTAGTTGTTTCTGGCAACACTGTGGGCTAGTGAGGTATAACTGATGTTGCTGGCTCCACGTTGGACCAGTATGATATAGCTTAGATGTTTCTGGCAACACTGTGGGCTAGTGTGGTATAACTGATGTTGCTGGCTCCACGTTGGACCAGTATGATATAGCTTAGATGTTTCTGGCAACACTGTGGGCTAGTGTGGTATAACTGATGTTGTTGAATTCACTTTGGGCTACTGTGATGTAATAACCCAGCTAATACCCCCATTCCACTGACCATCGGAACCTGATCTGAAGCCCATCTGCTCCAAATTTTGCAAAATTTTCAGCATTCCGATGAGTTCCGATGAAAACTCACCCGGCATCCTCTTTTTTGGGTCCCTGTTTTCCGTAAAATCCGATAGAGATCCAACATTGATTGGGGTAATCGGATTAAAGACTGGTAGTGGCCCGTTGTCTGTCCGCCATTTTGATCGGCGGCGTCCGATTGATCCGATTGCGGACTGATTGTAATTCGAGGGTGACCTGACACTAATCTGACACTTCCAACACTCTCCCGACACCAATCTGACACATCGGTTACTATTCGTAGGGTAATCGGACACTGACCCAATACTGGTCGGATTTGTCGGAAAATCGGCAGTCTAGCATAAAAGCGGGCTGCACCTCCTGACAGTACTAGACATTGATCAACTTCTTCGCAAAGCTGCAGCAACAAACTATGCAACAAGATGCAATAACCCTTGAGGTCTGGAGAAGGAGGCTGAGAAGAAGGCGAAGAAGACCACGTCGTTATTGGGTTCGACCATGGCTGCAAGCTGATAGAAGGCTGTTATATGGGCACTACATCAGACTCATGAATGAACTAAGAATGGAGGATACAATGGCATTCTTCAATTTTTTGAGAGTTACGCCAGAATGTTTTGATGAACTACTCCAGAGACTCGCACCAAGACTCACGAAGGGTATACTAATGCCTGTTCTTTCTTGGAGCCATCTTCAGGATCTTGGTGCTGTAGTGTCCAATGAAAATCTGCGAAGTGAGTGTCGGCTGACCCTCCTTTCGTAGTCCGTTGGCCGCCAGATGTCACCGCTTGCTATGCGATATGTGTCGGATGGCAGTTGAGTTAATGAGCAATTACCGTCATTATCATGTTAACCTCCAATGAGAATCGAATTGGTGATGGGCGGCTATCAGGCGCGTCGGGCAGACCGCAGATTGCAATCAGATGAGTGTCAGATGACTGTTAATTATCTGACACTCATCAGATTGCCGTCTGACGTCGGCTAGACACGTCCGATAGTTGCACAACCTGATTCTGACACACATCGGACTGACTCGACATTCATCCGACACTGACTCGATTTGCGACCGGAAATGGCGTCCAATGGCGAACTTAGCTCCGAGCTTAGTTCCTTCATCGGACGGTTTCGCCTCATCGGATCACGCCCGACACGTCGGACACTGACCTGATAGTCGACAAACACAAATCGGAATCATCGGAGTGTGATACAATACTCTTCGGTGGGTTACTGGAAGTAAAAATCTTTGCTTCCAATGAGTGACCGATGAGCCAAAATTGTCTGTGGTATGGAGGTATTAATGGGTTCAACAGAGAACGGACCTCACCAATCTGGAAACACCAACATCTAGAAGCTACTGATGGGTATGTCGGTATAGTTTGAAAGGACATTCATACAAAACAACAACTTGTTAATCCAGACATATCTGTACAAGTAACTTCCTTGATAATCTGGACAATTTCAATGGTTTGTGTCTGGATTAATGGGGCTTCACTGCATACGGATTGTTCAGTGTCAGTAGAGACCTCTCACATTTCATATTGGTGAGCATCACATCTGCTAAATAAAACACAAGAGAGCATAAAATTACAGTTTTATTTATATCAACTTTCCCAGAAAGGGGAGACATTGCATCAGAGGTTATTTCCTCCCCCAAAAGAATTGCATAAGCTCTTAGTGATCTTACAACACAAATAACATCCAGCTCATTTCTTGCATATTCCTTGTACACTATTTTACATACTTTGTACATGCAATTGATATGTTTCCACAGTTGGATATCAACAACTTGGTTACAGGACTGTTTGGCACAGGTGTGGTACACCCCCCAGAACATGTATGTACATCTGCTGTAATGTTAGTTGGTCATGGTCAAGGAAAAACCAAAGGAAAGTATTTGTGTTCAAAGTGTAGTCTTACACTGTTTGCAACAGTTGTACTACAATAATATTTTCTTGCATATTCAGCAACACACCACTAGAAAACAGAGCCTGTTACCAAAGGTGTCATCACTAATCGTGGGTTGTATTTACTACTACTAATACTTAGATTAGAGAAAGTCTCATAAAAGATACCATTCATTTGTGATCAGCTGAGCAAGTTTTCTCAAATCCAAACAAAAAAGTGTGCAACCAAAAGTGTAGAAGAGTAATAACCTTGCCCTGCAGGAGCTTTATCACAGTGCCAGAAAAGAAGAAATCCTTTCCCCCCAAAAAAACAATACTAGATCTATGTACTCGCTGACTTGGTTGATGCTTGTCATTGCATCCCAATTGCGTGTATCTATGCTCATGATATGAATTATTATATATATAGCTGGAATATTGCTGAGTGCGGAGTTAAACAACAGAAACAAGCAATCAAAAACATCTGATACAGCAGAGAAAGAGGCTGATACATGGCCATAGTATTTACCATGGTGTTGAGTACTTCATGAAATATAAATTATCAGTATATATATATATACAATACACCCGTAAGCCTTCTCTGTTGTATCAAAGCTCTCCATATTCTCAGTGGCCCAATTCTGTGCCAGACGGAGTTACTTCCACTTGGGGGCTTTCCCACAGGGGGCTCTGGCCACCCAGCTTCACACGCTCCGAACTGGTACAGAGAGGGGTCAGTGGGACTGGACAGCTTCATTGTGACAGGTCACAGCCCCCTCTATTGAAACATACATGTATGTGACAATGGAAAAAAGGTCCCCATTGACTTCAGACAGAAAAGCTTTTGTGAGGCAATGACCAAGTTAAAAAACAATAGCTATAAGTGAAAACTTGAATTAACTGGTATAATTTGATCTCTCATTGTTACCAAAGTTGAATTTACAATGGAGCATATTATACTCTTAAGCAAGTGGAAATATCAACCTTATCAGGTTACCCAGTGAGATAAACAAGGTATTTGATAAAGTCCAAATACCCCATTCCATGTAAATATCATTGTCATACCGGTACTTAAAATGCTATTACTCTATAAACAAGAAACATTGGCCAAAAATTCTAAAAGCGTTGTAAATCACATTTTGACCATGTTCCTGAGGCAAGAGAGTTAGTTGACTATGTAAGTCCAGTTTACACCCTGCCGAACTCGGCTGGAATTATGAAGATATAGTTTGGCTGGTCTAACGAGTCTTTGCATAGGCCAATCAAAATCGTGTAACTATATCGACATCTGGTGTGTAAAATGATTGAAGGATTTGCAAAGCATGTGTGCCAAATCTTTTCATGTTTTTAACCAAGGTGCGCACATGATTTGACGTACTTTGTGAAGTAAGGCCAATTATATCACAATATAGATCTTGATTATCGTTCAGATCGTCCTGACTGGCCACCACCATTTTGTTTGAAGCAAATGCAAGTGATATGAGAAGTGGAATATGATTGGTCAATAGGAAGAATATAGAGCATGTAGAAGAGACATAAGTCGTAATAGCCACTGGTGGCGCTACAATTGAGCCCAGAAATTCCAGCCTAGTTTGGTAAGGGTAAACATGGACCTTTACAGTCAGTTAACACCTTTGCCTCAGGTAGATGCATTCTGACATGAGGCAGGCACAATTTGACAGTTATAAAGAGCCATACAATGAGTAAAAAGCAAGGGTACCAAGGGAATAGTCCACCTTCCCAAGACACCGTTGTAGCCATTGTCACATTTCATTTTTAAAGTTTAAACTTTCAAAAAGGCTAAAATCAAACAAACTGACAGGTCTTGTCTACAAAATGGCTAATATCCGTTTGTAGTCAGACAAGTGAGAACATAGAGTGCGGAGTGGGAAAGTTTGGAGAGACGGAGAGAATGTGCAGTTCAGTCAGTTGTCAAGATGGGGTGTGGAGGTAGAAAATCCTGAGATTCGGAGGCTGCACCTGGACTCACTATCTATGATGTGGACTTCAGTCCTGAAAATGAAATAGTTCCATTATCTTTATGGCTTTAAAAGATGTGCAGACTATAGTATAATATATACCCTATTCACAAACCATTTCATTAAAGATATACTTTTTACTTTTAGACAGTCTATTCACATTTTGTCCATGACAACCATATCATTCATTAATGCAGCTAGTGTGTGCTTGTGCCTCACAAATAGGGTCTGTTTGTTGTGTGATTGGAAAAATTCCTGTAAATTGTATATCTATATACCTATCCTATCTCACATTAAGCATTTCTTCTTCGACCATATGTGGATCGCAGTTCCTCTAGCCTGTTAGCTCTGATGAAAGGGAATGATGTGCAGAGATAGACTAGTCATCAGGTCATGTTGGGTTGCTGTGCACGGGATCACATACATGGCTGAAGTGTTGGACGTTAACCATGTTAACCATGGTGATGTTGGGATGTGTTCAGGTTAATTGTTTTTTAGAAGCTGGAAACTTTGTTCAAGCACGTTTCCACATAGGATCGAAGAAGAAATGCTTAGTGTTAGAAAGGATAGTTACAGCATATAAATATACAATTTATAGAAAATTTCCCAAATACAGAACAAAACTACACACAAGTAGTGTGTGAAACTGGGACTTAGTCACTTTGTAACACTTTGTAAAGGGATTAACTGTTAGGCTTGATACAGACTCTACATGTAATGTGAGCAGATTATGTGTGTGCCTGAATGACTTAACACAAACTAGGACTGCTAGTTTGTCTAGTCCCCCTTAAAAGCATGTGTTCTGTATTTATCATTTTTCTCTGAAATCACGTAACAAAAAACATACATAACAAAACATCGCTACTTACTATCACTAGAAACAAATTTGAGAGATTCACTGAATATTCAAAATCTCGATTGGCCTTTCTTGGGTCCATCACCAATAAATTCATGCCCCAGTCCATTGCCACATTTGCCACAGGAAATCTGTAAACAAACAGTAATCAGTTGTAACCATGGTAACAGGATATGTCAACAAACAGTAAACACTGGACACAGGATATCTGTCAACATACAGTAAACACTGGCCACAGGATATCTGTCAACATACAATAAACACTGGCCACAGGATATGTCAACATACAATAAACACTGGCCACAAGATATCTGTCAACATACAGTAAACACTGGCTACAGGATATCTGTCAACATACAGTAAACACTGACCCACAGGATATATGTCAACATACAGTAAACACTGACCACAGGATATCTGTCAACATACAATAAACACTGGCCACAAGATATCTGTCAACATACAGTAAACACTGGCTACAGGATATCTGTCAACATACAGTAAACACTGGCCACAGGATATATGTCAACATACAGTAAACACTGGTCACAGGATATCTGTCAACATACAATAAACACTGACCACAGGATATATGTCAACATACAGTAAACAGATGCTCCTACTGGACACCCATCCAACAATTCTCCGTGATCAGCCTATAGTTCATGCAAGGGAACTGCCTAACATTTTGCTTCACATTGTTGGGATAACAACTAACATCGTAACAAAGTCTCCACTGCTAGAAACAACACTGACTGAGAAGTTACCTTCACAGCTCTTGGTGACTCTGTTCTACGTGACACGCTGTCAGGTCGTATCAACTCTGTGAAGGATGGCCATGGAGAGGAATGCTCAAACTTTGACCTGCTGTGAAACAGCTCATTGTTACATGCAGAACACACATAGGTACCTGAAACATAAACAGTAATGAGTGTACATTTGCAAATCATTTTTATCTTGTACATGATGACAGGTTAAATTTACAAAAAGACATCAAATATTTTTAATCACCATGACACATAACTAGCAGCAAGATTTCAGGTGATAAAGTTAAACTAAGTATGGCCTGTGATGTCAGGGATCAGGTGCTGTACAGTAATTTGAGGGGGGTGTACCTGGGTACATGGTGTAAGTAGGGCAACACTGCTTTCAACAGTATTTCAGTTGAACGCAACATGTCATATTAATGTCAGAGGAAAGCCTAAACATACACAGGTTGTACTTGTACATACTACATACGTTTATCAATTTGGCAAAACCCATAATCAGAGACTTCGGGCAGACAGACCAAACCTTATAGACTGTGTGTTAAAGCCTGCTTGAATCTGAGATTTAAGTCTGTCAGTGTTATTTTACTCTCTATCGGCAATATTCTATGTACATGGTGTAAGTAATCTTAGCCCCCGACTAAACTTACATGACAGACCTTATTTTCTTACCAATATTTATATAGATTATTTAATTGTGCATATTACAGATTTACTGTCAATATTACCATAATCTACAAAAGAGTAGAAATAAGTGATTGACAGCTTGAGCAATGACTCATACGAAGAGGTGTGGTAGACAGTACATGAAGTAGTTTCTGTATATATAATGATTATATTTTATTCATTAGTTTTACTTCAGCAAATTGAAAATAAAGTTATTTTGTATATTTTAGATCTCTAATGCAGTAATTAAAATGATGTATAAAGCAAGTATCTTCATTGATGTAACAACAATAACTGTATTTCTCATTTTAGCCTGCGTAAGATATTTAAGGAGTCGTTACCTAAGCATCATCAGTAAAAAGATCTAGTCTTTTGTTAGGTTCTGCTCATGGGGTCTGTCCACTGCAATATAGGGTGGACAGGCATGTCATTGTTGATCAATCAAAGTTGAAGATCACAACAATTTTAAGATTAGTAGTCCAAGTTATTAAGGTGTACATGTCAGTTTAATATACTCACACACAAAAGAAACGCAAGTGCTTTTAAGCAAATAGGTAACAAACACCGAACCATAAATTGATAGGAGTTTTAGCATGTAGTGAAGCCTGATGGTGTTATCAATATTTTTGGTTGCATATTGGAAGCCCCGAGTAAAAACGCAACATAAAAAACAAATCGCCAAAATGCACCATTTCAATGAATATGTGGGTATCATGCTCCCATTTCTCGCGAAATCGAAAATACACGAACTGTCATGAACTGTAGTGGGTATAAAACTGTGGCCGATTCTTGGACCTACCACTGCTTGGTCAACAATGCCACGCCTCACTCAAATTCAGAGAAACCAGGCTATCGGACGTTTGGAATCTGGAGAGTCTGTCCAAGATGTTGCCCGTCATTTCAACGTTAACATAACCACAATTTACTGTCTCCTGCATCGATACAATACTACAAAGACCACAGATGACCTCCCTCGGAGATGTTGTCCTAGGGTCACCACACCTCGACAAGATCGGCAGATTACCCGTCAACACCAGCGACATCCGTTCCTAACTGCAAGTGAAAGTGCTCGACAGACCATAGGAACACATAATCGACACATTAGCCAGGACACTGTGATTCGACGTCTCCGTTCCAACAACCTCAGATGTCGCCGACTAGCAAGTCATCCTGTTCTCCAACCACGGCATCGACAAGCACGACTTCAGTGGGCACAGGATCATCACAATTGGCGTCATCGTGGGTGGAGGCGTGTCATCTTCTCTGATGAAAGTCGCTTTTGTGTCTCCCATGCAGACGGAAGAGTCAGAATTTGGAGGTGATCGTTTCGCTGACAGAAACGTTGTGGAAAGGGATCCATGGGTGGACCTAGCGTCCTGATATGGGCAGGGATTGGACTTAATGCGAGACTTGGACCCATGAGCTTTCTGAAGCTTTTTTTGCACATCAACAAAACATTTTCCAGCAGGACAACGCTCGTCCCCATGTTGCCAGAGCTACCATGGCCTTTCTGCAAACAACACAACATCCGTGTTCTACCGTGGCTAGCCCTCAGCCCTGATCTGAACCCCATCGAACACTTGTGGGATGAGGTTCAAAGGCGTCTGCACAATGCGCGCCCAGTTCCTACAACTGCCGATGAACTTCGCACAGCTGCTCTGGATGTGTGCAGGAGGATCCCTAGGGCCTTCACAAATCGTCTGATCCACTCAATGTACAGGAGATGTGTAGCAGTGATCAATGCTAATGGTGGTCACACCAGGTATTGACTGACATTTTGGGTATTGACCCAAAACTGTGTAAGCCCTTAACATTTGAAAAAAACAATTATGTCATCTGCCTTTTAATCCATTAAACATGTTAAACTGTCTTCAGTCAAATTAACATGCATACTGCATACTCAACTTGCATTTCTTTTGTGTGTGAGTATATATATAAATCACTGTAGGTAAATACATGTCTTTTCTCTTATTAATAGTATATTAACATGTTACTTGTACCACCGTCAGTGTTTGAGTGTGTATGACAGTGTATGTGTTCCAGACATATTTCATTTCATTTTATTTGCCTTTGGGTTTTGGTGTGAGTGTTAATTGGATTAATTTGTGCATTCAGTAACTTGTATTGTGGATCAATGATTTGATGATGATCTAGATGTAATTTTTATATGTGTAAATAGAAATGTTTACATGCTGTGTTTTGTATCAAGGACAGGTTACCTCTGACTTTTATATGTTTCAATATAGATAAAGCTTCAGTCAACTTAAGTGTACGCATGACCAGATCGTTTTATACCTGTATCTTAATACTTTTTGCCAGCTGGTAAAACAATTCCCAAACAGAGAGTCTGTACCCATCTCTTGAGACTTACAGTGGATACCCGGGTAGGGTCAGGTTGAGTACCCGGGTAGGGTCAGGTTGGGTACCCGGGTAGTAACTTGGACAAGTCCCAGCCCTAGTACGTATCATAACGTTTGTCTTTATAATGAAATCATACTTTGCCCTGCCCTAATGTTTATTATTGCATTCATTGTCTTTTTCCCCCATTCCCAACACTAAATAAATAGACCTCACACACCAAGTGTCATGTTTTTACCACATCAAAACACATTTCTGGCTATTTCTGGTATAACAATACACAATCTGCCAGGGCACACAACGTGACCAAAAACATCTTAAAATTCAATCGTTCGCTCTAGTCTTGCGAAAAACCTGCTTATTACTGGGAACCCACTTCACCATTAAATCATGATTTGTATTACTTTTTACAAAGAAAAGTGAAGATGTGTGTTTAGATACACATAAGGACCATCCTACGACAACCTTCTCAAGGATCGTACGTTGTTTTTCAGATGGGATACCCTTACGTTATGTGTATTGCAATACGATCAGCCAAGATCAGTAATTCAGTTACATAACCATTAACCGGTCAACACACTACTATCATGTGTAATACTGTCATTAGGTGCCAACCTGTCTCGAAATGATCTTTATAATGTTCACTGCCAGACCAACCGCAAAACGACATCTTGTCAGGATGCGATAATTTCTTCTTCCTCGATTAATGACACTACCCTCCTTCGTGAACTTTATCAATGTACGAAAGTAACAAGCTACACTATGGATATGTTACATAACACGACATGTCTTAACGATTCTGACCAATTATCAAATTTCAGTTCAATTAATTCAATTTGTATCTGTTATTAGTTCTTCTGCAAGAATACCGTTATTTAAATTCGAAACGTATGTCACTTGTGACTAGCTTAGCGTGTGGTTGCTGAGATAAACAACATGGCGGACCTCATCAATCGGGTTGGGTCGCCCATGGACATTTGCGAAGAAAGTCTTGATGAGGCGCCAGATAAAATTGAGAAAAGGAAAAGGCTGTTAACACTCAAACAACGAACACGATCACGTATCCTTTGCATTTAGGTTGCAACACTTCGAGTTTCGATTACAATCAACTCGCTGCTGGAATATTGCCTGTCCTAATTTCGATCAAAATGTCCAACTTATTCGTATCTGTACAATGCTATTTGGTTTTGTCAAAGTTTCTGAAAATATGATTTCCAGATTAACAATATATCATCCGAAAAAATGGTTTATATGTGTCATTGCAAAAGTAGATCATAGCAATTGTGGGAGCACCTTTAGAATACAGTACCACATTTTCTTGTGAGGACGGTCTCTGTCGTAGGTCACATGTCTTAAAGACAAGCAACCAGTTTTTGTGAGAATTCATCGGACGCGAACTCACGACCTCCGGATTGTTAGCCCGACAACTAACCGACTGAGCTACGTGGTGTCTCATGACTTTAGTCTTCGGACACTTACGAATTATCCCGATGCCATTTAGCACACTCGTCCTATTCCGTAATCTACAAGATACCAAGTGGCGAGGAATGATCCGATATGGTGCGAACTGAAAACTGCTCCAGGCGTCAGACGTCGAACTCGCGAGTACGCATGAATGACATTGTATTTAATCATTCGTCAGGTGGATTTGGTGACAGAAAAGTGTGGTAGGGAACACTATAAGGATGATGTGGATAATAGTAAGGAACGAGGGAGGCATGTGCATGAGTGACGACACAATGGTGAGTTCACTTTTGAATCAGTACTGAAAAAATGTAGCTGGTGAAAGTGGCTTATGTGAATGTTCCAGGACAGTTTCCAGTAGCCAAAGTATTCAACACAAAACCATTTCATCCTTTTTACTCGACGTTTTTGTGTAAAGAATATTAGGAGCCGCTATAGAATAATAGCCACTAAACGGGTAGATTTACCTAACCCTAATGATCGTAAAGGGATGATTGACCATAAAGGGGATCCAAGGGCTAAGGACAGAGTTCGGGGTAATCTAATAGCCTCTTAACGGGTACCTAACCCTAATGATCGTAAAGGGGGTGATTGATTGTAAAGGGGATCCAAGGGCTAAGGATAGAGTTCGGGGTTACCTACCCTAACACTAGCGATATTTGGATGTGTTCAGTGCCAATATATTATCCCTAATAAAGTGCATTCTTGTGCATAATAATGAGAATTAATGAACTGAAAATATAATATATGTATATTAGTTCCCATTTATAACCATTTTAGAATTACAAGAAAAACGAAAGAAAAAATATATTAGAAATAAAAGTTCTTTCGTTATCTAGCGGTTGCTATAAAATGCGCCGCCGCAGGCTATATTTATTTAACAAATATTCAAAACTCTCCACACTGCTAGGCGTAGTCAATGGCATTTCATGTAGAGATGATAGATCACTGGGAGGAGCTTATGCACACACGATGACCCCTGACGTCCCAGGGCATTGTTTCCCCAGTGTGACTGGCAACAAAATACTACAAATTACGTCATAGGGTATTGTCACGTGTTTGAAAAGTTTGTGGTACTGTATTCTAAAGGTAGGCCCAATTGTGGTCCTGTTTGTACATTTCCCCCTCATATTATACCTTGACAGGCCTCAGGGGCCACTTCTGAATTGAGCTGGTTATAACTAATATTAAAACAGTTGTACCATACTGATTCAATGACTTATTATTCAGAATAGATTCTGATAATTGCATGGAAAATATCGCACCATGGTGACAAAACCGATTTTTACCTGTATTTGAAGAAAGGTATTTGTATAGGGTCTATAAGCAAATAATGCGCCTACTGATGAATCCTTATGTTGAATTTTATGGTATCAGAGCCACTACAGAAATAAGTTCCTGAAGAAAGTTAATCTCACACATGGAGATTGTCACACACAAAATAAGCGGCAAATGGGACTTTTGTTTATCAAATACCAACATTTGCACACAATCTAAATACTATTTTTGTGCATAAAAATATGTAACATATTACGTACCTGTGTGTTGAAATCTTTAACCGTGTCTCCAGCATTTCTGATTGGTTCCATAGAAGCTGTAAACAAGAAAATCAGCAGTTTGGATCGTAAGCTTCAGGGGTACACTCAGCTGGTGTGTGAGAGTCGTGCCGCCAGCCATGCAGACCTTGCTGATCTGTTCCCGACCAGTGCTATGGGTCGGGACAGGTATCATCAGAGAGGTATGTGAACCATATATTCCATTTATACATTTATGTATACCAGTAGAAACGTATACATCAACATATTATTGGACACAGGAGCCACATGGGGATTCTGGGGTAAAACATGACCCCAGTAGCCAGTTCTTCTCGTAAGAGATGACTGAATGGATTGGGTGGTCAGAGTTGGTTGATTGTGTGTCATCCTGACTGCATGGGATGTTGCTAGTAATATCAATCACTGGTTTGTCTGGTCCAGATAATGTGCAAGCCATCATGATATAGCTTTAGAACACAAGCTTATTGTGCAGACTGCTGTGTTTTACAAGAAATAAACAAAGAAAACACTATGTGTCAACAAACTTGTATGGGGATTCATTTTGCCAAATCTTATGTCAATAGAATTATGATGAAATATGTGAACTGACCAGTATTGGACATGTTGGAGAACTATGGAACAAGTGTCTCAGTGGGTGATACCACCCTTTTTGTTACCAGTATTTGTATAAACTTTATTCCATTGTTGACATGTAAAAGTAACCCCCATAAATGATACTTACAGAATGAAAAGCAAATAACAACTAACTAGTGTCAGATTTTGCATCAAAACTATGAATGTAACAATCACAATGCCACAACAAGTGTAGAAATACTTTCTGAAGATTATTTCACAAGTGCAAATATTATTACAATGTTGTGTAAATTATTACCCTCTAAAATAAAAAGTATTTCACTTAATGTTATGTGTTTTTGTATCACGAAGTACACACTGACTCTCATGATTCATTTCATGTATACATTGAAAATAAATTTAGACAACCTTCTAATCTAGAACTATTGAACTTCTGTTTCTCTTCATTCCAGAAAGGGAGACGAAAGAAGTTAACTGTTTTGCTGGAATCTACACATTCAAGTCCAGTAAGTCCAAAGTCTTTCTCATTGAACTTGTCAGTTTTGTATCAGTCACACAGGTAGCCTTATTAAACAACAATGTTGCAATTATTGACAAGTTTGTAGTGAGAGCAGGTGTGACCAGAAGATAAGGGGTGGCTGAAAAGTTCTGAGCCTAACTACAAATTACAATGGTTTTCAATTATTTTTCGGGAGGTAGTCCACCATTAGGATTCCTTTGGAATCCTAGAAAACTGAAGCCTTCAGCTTGCCAGCTGATGGAACAGACTATCAGTCTCAGACAAATTCTGCTATTCTGCAATCGCAGAAAGATTTGCAGAAAATTTGACTTACCACAGAATTGCAGAAAAATCACGGAATTTGCCTTTTTAATTAATTAATACACTTATTTTCATTTTTGTTTATTTTCAAGCTTTTCTATCAAAATTTGCACTCAAATGATGCTCAAACATGTAACATGCAATTCAAACATACAAAACATGAATCCTACAATGAAAATTTGAAATATATCATTCCGACTTCATGTTGCTCATGTTCCTGTGGTATTATGACTACATAAACTATGTAACCATAAATAAATAGCAGACACTATGTATATGTATTTGCATAATTCTATGTCTTGAAATGTCTAAATACAAGAGACTAAGTTTTTTAAATGAGTTTGTAGTATTGTTTCTGGGGAAATGGTTATGCTGTTATTTGCCGCAGAATGTTGGTAATTTTACTGCAGAATTCATCTGGGACTGGACTTTGCCTTCTGAGAAGGAGATGTTAGACGTTTCCACTGCTTTGACTATTGTTTAGCCTCTGGCTGATAGTGGTGAACCCAAGTCTCATCCATGCATGTTATAAAAAATAGCTCAACAAACGCAGCTGGGTCTGCGTCAAAAGGAGGTAAATTTTCAAGAAAGATGACGAATCTGGAGTGTTTCTGATCAGAAGTCTTGGAACCCAGCGTGCCCAGCTCATTCCTTAGATTGTTCTCAACCCTCTCATGCGAGATGCCTACACTATTGGCTATGTGACATGTGGTGATTCATATTTTATCACCATTTTCCAAAGTGGTGGCAGTTGAAGGTCTTCCTGAACTTGGATCATCTTTGAGTCTCCCTCTTGAACTCTGCTGCCCACCACTTAAAAGTGTGACAGGAAAGAGCATCATCCCCTGAGGTTGACACTGTCTGCATGAATAGCTGTTGGAGTTGGCCCTAACAGTTGGATATACTTGATGACAGCATAGTAGCCAATTTTGTCCATTTTCACCAATGGAGGATACCTCATCACTGTGATGCCTGCAGAATTATGTTGCCTGGTTGTGTATTTGGTTCAGCCTGTAAGCATGGGAAGTATTGTACTTAACACATACATGCTGTATAAGGGTGAACTGGCCATCCTACATAGTTAGACTCAAGACTTAGACTTCACCCATGAAAAGAAATAAATCTGAAATGCCATATTTGTTCACCTTCCTCACCTTCACTGAAACATCTGTATCAAAACAATGTTAAAACTTTAGCCAAGTCCACTATATTAATGGAATCTTTCATTGCACTGGGGTTTCCATGTTCTTTGCCATCAACCACTGATGAGTTGCATTGAACACCCACTCATCACTCAAGTAGTAATAGTGAACATGCCTAATGATATGGCCTTCATTTCTCAATGCAATACTCACTGAAATATTCCATGTTGTGACACATTTCAGCCCTTGTCCCCGGACTCAGTCAGAGGGTGAAACACATATCTAAAATCAGCATGCAGCCCAGCAAGACAGCTCTCAGTGTGAGTATCTGGGGTCACAGCAGCAGGCTTCGATCCCACTATAGCACATTACAAATGCCTATTTAGTAGTATTACACAGAAAGTGTTGAAGCTACAGGCTTTGATCCCACTATAGCACATTACAAATATCTTCTTCTTTTTCTTCGTGTTGAAGCTACAGGGTTTGATCCCTCCATTTGTCACTAGGGTACGAATAAGGTGTTGGAGCTAGAGTTTGATCCCACCATTTGTCACTAGGGTACATAGGAAGGGTTGAAGCTACATGGTTTGATCCCTCCCTTTGTCACTAGGGTACACATAAAGTGTTGGAGCTAGAGTTTGATCCCACCATTTGTCACTAGGGTACATAGGAAGTGTTGAAGCTACATGGTTTGATCCCTCCCTTTGTCACTAGGGTACACATAAAGTGTTGAAGCTAGAGTTTGATCCCACCATTTGTCACTAGGGTACATAGGAAGGGTTGAAGCTACATGGTTTGATCCCTCCCTTTGTCACTAGGGTACACATAAAGTGTTGAAGCTAGAGTTTGATCCCACCATTTGTCACTAGGGTACATAGGAAGGGTTGAAGCTACATGGTTTGATCCCTCCCTTTGTCACTAGGGTACACATAAAGTGTTGAAGCTAGAGTTTGATCCCACCATTTGTCACTAGGGTACATAGTAAGTGTTGAAGCTACATGGTTTGATCCCTCCCTTTGTCACTAGGGTACACATAAAGTGTTGAAGCTCGAGTTTGATCCCACCATTTGTCACTAGGGTACATAGGAAGTGTTGAGGCTACATGGTTTGATCCCTCCCTTTGTCACTATGGTACACATAAAGTGTTGGAGCTAGAGTTTGATCCCACCATTTGTCACTAGGGTACATAGTAAGTGTTGAAGCTACAGGGTTTGATCCCTCCATTTGTCACTAGGGTACATAGGAAGTGTTGAAGCTACAGGGTATGATGCCTCCCTTTGTCACTAGGGTACATAGGAAGTGTTGAAGCTACAGGGTTTGATCCCTCCATTTGTCACTAGGGTACATAGGAAGTGTTGAAGCTACAGGGTATGATGCCTCACTTTGTCACTAGGGTACATAGGAAGTGTTGGGGCTACAGGCTTTGATCCCACTATAGCACATTACAAATATCTTCTTCTTTTTCTTTGTGTTGAAGCTACATGGTTTGATCCCTCCCTTTGTCACTAGGGTTCACATAAAGTGTTGAAGCTAGAGTTTGATCCCACCATTTGTCACTAGGGTACATAGGAAGTGTTGAAGCTACATGGTTTGATCCCTCCCTTTGTCACTAGGGTACACATAAAGTGTTGAAGCTCAAGTTTGATCCCACCATTTGTCACTAGGGTACATAGGAAGTGTTGAAGCTACATGGTTTGATCCCTCCCTTTGTCACTAGGGTACACATAAAGTGTTGAAGCTCGAGTTTGATCCCACCATTTGTCACTAGGGTACATAGGAAGTGTTGAAGCTACATGGTTTGATCCCTCCATTTGTCACTAGGGTACATAGGAAGTGTTGAAGCTCGAGTTTGATCCCACCATTTGTCACTAGGGTACATAGTAAGTGTTGAAGCTACAGGGTTTGATCCCTCCATTTGTCACTAGGGTACATAGGAAGTGTTGAAGCTACAGGGTATGATGCCTCCCTTTGTCACTAGGGTACATAGGAAGTGTTGAAGCTACAGGGTATGATGCCTCCCTTTGTCACTAGGGTATAGGAAGTGTTGAGGCTACAGGCTTTGATCCCCCATTTGTCACTAGGGTACATAGGAAGTGTTGAGGCTACAGGCTTTGATCCCACCATTTGTTACTTGGGTACATAGGAAGTGTTGAGGCTACAGGCTTTGATCCCACCATTTGTCACTAGGGTACATAGGAAGTGTTGAGGCTACAGGCTTTGATCCCATCATTTGTCACTAGGGTACATAGGAAGTGTTGAGGCTACAGGCTTTGATCCCCCCATTTGTCACTAGGGTACATAGGAAGTGTTGAGGCTACAGGCTTTGATCCCACCATTTGTTACTAGGGTACATAGGAAGTGTTGAGGCTACAGGCTTTGATCCCACCATTTGTCACTAGGGTACATAGGAAGTGTTGAAGCTACAGGCTTTGATCCCCCATTTGTCACTAGGGTACATAGGAAGTGTTGAAGCTCGAGTTTGATCCCACCATTTGTCACTAGGGTACATAGGAAGTGTTGAAGCTACATGGTTTGATCCCTCCCTTTGTCACTAGGGTACACATAAAGTGTTGAATCTCGAGTTTGATCCCACCATTTGTCACTAGGGTACATAGGAAGTGTTGAAGCTACATGGTTTGATCCCTCCATTTGTCACTAGGGTACATAGGAAGTGTTGAAGCTAGAGTTTGATCCCACCATTTGTCACTAGGGTACATAGTAAGTGTTGAAGCTACAGGGTTTGATCCCTCCATTTGTCACTAGGGTACATAGGAAGTGTTGAAGCTACAGGGTATGATGCCTCCCTTTGTCACTAGGGTACATAGGAAGTGTTGAAGCTACAGGGTATGATGCCTCCCTTTGTCACTAGGGTATAGGAAGTGTTGAGGCTACAGGCTTTGATCCCCCATTTGTCACTAGGGTACATAGGAAGTGTTGAGGCTACAGGCTTTGATCCCACCATTTGTTACTTGGGTACATAGGAAGTGTTGAGGCTACAGGCTTTGATCCCACCATTTGTCACTAGGGTACATAGGAAGTGTTGAGGCTACAGGCTTTGATCCCATCATTTGTCACTAGGGTACATAGGAAGTGTTGAGGCTACAGGCTTTGATCCCCCCATTTGTCACTAGGGTACATAGGAAGTGTTGAGGCTACAGGCTTTGATCCCACCATTTGTTACTAGGGTACATAGGAAGTGTTGAGGCTACAGGCTTTGATCCCACCATTTGTCACTAGGGTACATAGGAAGTGTTGAGGCTACAGGCTTTGATCCCACCATTTGTCACTAGGGTACATAGGAAGTGTTGAAGCTACAGGCTTTGATCCCCCATTTGTCACTAGGGTACATAGGAAGTGTTGAAGCTACAGGGTATGGTGCCTCCCTTTGTCACCAGGGTACATAGGAAGTGTTGAAGCTAGATTTTGATCCCACCATTTGTCACTAGGGTACATAGGAAGTGTTGAAGCTACAGGCTTTGATCCCCCATTTGTCACTAGGGTACATAGGAAGTGTTGAGGCTACAGGCTTTGATCCCACCATTTGTCACTAGGGTACATAGGAAGTGTTGAAGCTACAGGCTTTGATCCCCCATTTGTCACTAGGGTACATAGGAAGTGTTGAGGCTACAGGCTTTGATCCCACCATTTGTCACTAGGGTACATAGGAAGTGTTGAGGCTACAGGCTTTGATCCCCCATTTGTCACTAGGGTACATAGGAAGTGTTGAGGCCACAGGCTTTGATCCCACCATTTGTCACTAGGGTACATAGGAAGTGTTGAAGCTACAGGCTTTGATCCCCCATTTGTCACTAGGGTACATAGGAAGTGTTGAGGCCACAGGCTTTGATCCCACCATTTGTCACTAGGGTACATAGGAAGTGTTGAGGCTACAGGCTTTGATCCCACCATTTGTCACTAGGGTACATAGGAAGTGTTGAGGCTACAGGCTTTGATCCCACCATTTGTCACTAGGGTACATAGGAAGTGTTGAAGCTACAGGCTTTGATCCCCCATTTGTCACTAGGGTACATAGGAAGTGTTGAAGCTACAGGGTATGGTGCCTCCCTTTGTCACCAGGGTACATAGGAAGTGTTGAAGCTAGATTTTGATCCCACCATTTGTCACTAGGGTACATAGGAAGTGTTGAAGCTACAGGCTTTGATCCCCCATTTGTCACTAGGGTACATAGGAAGTGTTGAGGCTACAGGCTTTGATCCCACCATTTGTCACTAGGGTACATAGGAAGTGTTGAAGCTACAGGCTTTGATCCCCCATTTGTCACTAGGGTACATAGGAAGTGTTGAGGCTACAGGCTTTGATCCCACCATTTGTCACTAGGGTACATAGGAAGTGTTGAGGCTACAGGCTTTGATCCCCCATTTGTCACTAGGGTACATAGGAAGTGTTGAGGCCACAGGCTTTGATCCCACCATTTGTCACTAGGGTACATAGGAAGTGTTGAAGCTACAGGCTTTGATCCCCCATTTGTCACTAGGGTACATAGGAAGTGTTGAGGCCACAGGCTTTGATCCCACCATTTGTCACTAGGGTACATAGGAAGTGTTGAAGCTACAGGCTTTGATCCCACCATTTGTCACTAGGGTACATAGGAAGTGTTGAGGCCACAGGCTTTGATCCCACCATTTGTCACTAGGGTACATAGGAAGTGTTGAAGCTACAGGCTTTGATCCCACCATTTGTCACTAGGGTACATAGGAAGTGTTGAGGCCACAGGCTTTGATCCCACCATTTGTCACTAGGGTACATAGGAAGTGTTGAGGCCACAGGCTTTGATCCCACCATTTGTCACTAGGGTACATAGGAAGTGTTGAGGCTACAGGCTTTGATCCCACCATTTGTCACTAGGGTACCCTAGTGTTCAGGGTTTTACCTTGACTTACAAACTTGGGGCTCCTGGGGATCCCTATAATTGATTTAGGGGGTCCATACAGTAAATATGGGAGTCCTGTAAAGTAATGAAATGGTGTAGTTAAATTGGTGTGGTTATATTCCTTGTCATGAATTTTGTTCAATGAATATTATTGTGCGTTCCTTGGCATGCAATATTTTTTTTTGTCTACGTCAACTCTTTGCATTTGTGCACCTTTCTGCATTGTGTACCACCTCGAGTGTTGAAGCTACTCCAGCTGTTTGGGTTTGATCCCACCATTTGTCACATGTGCTTAGGACAAGATCATGGAGTCATTTTCAGTTTTGAGATGGTAATGTAATGTTCAGGTTATGATCTGAATGAGTATGGTTTAACTTGTGGGCCTCAGGATATAATGGAGCCATATATAAAAACAACAACTTTGTGGCCATTACACTGTCATCATGGTTCAAAATGAAATATAATTTGGTACATGTATAGTTAGCAGTGGGGCTCAACACACCGGTAGATTCCTAGAAACGTGTGTACAGCTGATTGCTACTTCCAGCTTAGTTTACCAGAAAATACAGACTGTGATCTTAATCTCTGCATATAAAACAATGCCTTTCAGAACAGGAAATACAATTTAATACATAAATCATCATGTCTTGTGTTTTTTTTATCTCAAATTTCAAATTTGTCTGGACCAAGTTTAATTGTTATGATTTGTTTGTTTCCCTGAATTCGCTGAAGGCATACGATGTAATTATACCCCCGTTTACGAAGTAAATCGGGGGTATATAGCGTTCCGTTCGTCCGTCCTTCCGTCTGTCCTTCCGTCTGTCCGTCCGGCCGTCCTTCCGTCCGAGCTTTTGTACGGCCTATAACTTTTTAACCATGCACCCTAGCTTCACCAAACTTGCTACATACATTTACCACAATGAGTACTTGTGCCTTTTGCTAGTTTGAAGATTCTGAATTTTTTAATTTTTGCCGTTTCCATGGAAACATTAGAAACTTAAACTTTTAGGGTGGGTGTTTTGTACGGCCTATATCTTTTTTAACTATGCACCCTAGCTTCACCAAACTTTCTACACACATTAACCACAATGAGTACTTGTGCCTTTTGCTAGTTTGAAGATTCTGAATTTTTTAATTTTTGCCGTTTCCATGGAATCATGGTGAAACATAAATTTTGGGTAGAGTTTTTGTACGATCCATGTTTACAATATTATGTATCCTAGCTTCAGCAAACTTGCTACATTAACCACTATGATTGTTTTTTATCTTTTATAAGATTCTGAAAGTTTTCTCTTTTGCTGTTTTCATGGAAACATGATGGAATTTAGAAATTTTGATGACCGGTTTTGTATAGCTAATATATTTTCAAAAATTGTTTCCACACATGTAGATCATCATAAGTATCTGTGCTTTGAATTTATGAATTCTCTACCATATCTGTTTAGGCTAGATGGAAATTATTAATTTATTGATTTTCTTATATGATATTGTTCCATTTTTTGTGTTTTTATATCAACAATTTTTGGTCCTTTTGATAATTCTTCTTATGTAACTCCTCAATCAAATTTTTATTCAAAGGTGTTCATGGTGATCTACTTCCTCGTAGTGAACACTGGTAACATGGGAGTTTGGGGGGGGGGTCAATTGTCACTGGAACTCAATCTTAGTTTTTAAAACATTGAAGTTAAAATCAGATAGAAATATGTAATACAGTATTTCATTAATTAACAAACTATTTACTATTTGTTGTTGACCAGCGGGGATAACGGGGGTATGTGAGCTTTGCTCACTTCTTTCCTGTTTTTTTCTGCAGAAGACAAACACATTTTTATTGCAAATGTAGGGGTTGTGTATGCGCTGGTGACGTGCTTCATTCCCATTCGCTTTATAGACAGGGTATATAAATTAGCATCGATTTTGAAGGCTTGTACAGAGGAGTCACCTTTTATGTGGGGTCACTTTATAGACGGCAATATACAGAACTTTTGTGACCTTCAGCTTGTATCTGGGTAGGGTCAGGTAATATGGGGTCGGGTACTTGGGTAGTAAATTTGGACTTGTACCAGTCCTATCATGTACAGTATCATACCGTTTGTCCTTATGTGAATCATACTTTGTTCAAATCATTAGATTTTAGTGTTGGTTTTTAGTCTCCACTACTTAAACAGAAAATATCTGAATATTAATACTGACTGCAATTATTGTTAGGTGGGTGTCTATGTTGACTTTTTAAACTGCTGACTATATATTTAAGTGCATCTTCGAAAGGCAAGGGAGTTAACTGGCTATGAAAGTCAAGTTTCCACCCTTGCCGAACTAGGGTGGAATTTCTGGGCTCGATCGTAGCGCCACCAGTGGCTGTTATGAGTTATGTCCCTTCTATGCTTCTCTATCCAATCAGATTCCGCCTCTCATATCACTTGTATTTGCTTCAAACAAGATGGTGTCGCCCTGTCAAGATGATCTGATCGATAATCAAGATCTATGTCGTAATAAGACGGGTCTTACATTGTGAAGTGCATCAAATCATGTGAGCATCTTGATTAAAAGCATGAAAAGATTTGGAAAGACTGGTCTGACGCCAAATTGTCGGTACACATGCTTTGCAAATCTTGCGGTCGACCGAAATCTGCACAGACCAGATGTTGATTTTGTTGCACGATTTCTTTTGGACTATGCATAGACTCGTTAGTTCAGCCAAAATATCAATCCATTATTCCAGCCTAGTTTGGCAAGGGTGGAAACTGGACATTTCCGGGAAGATGATCTGGGTGAGCTAATGTGCTGTATCACTATTTTTCATGTTTCAGACAGGCTGGCATTGTTAATTTACTGACTGGAGCTGTGTAAGATATGTTATACATCAGAATTTAACTAACTTGTTACAGGCCAAGAAAGAGACCGGCAAGCCCAAATTTGTGGAAGTAAGTATTATAATTATAGAAGTGCCATCACTGTAATTTCAGCATACTGCTATTCAGAAAATTCCATTTTCTAATATTGGCTTCCTTTGCTGTAATATTTGATGTTCTATTGCCTTATCTTTTAATATTTTGTCCTCTTGGTTATAGCTGCATCAGTATCCAGGCTACGACCCGACAGAGTTAACTCCCCTGCCTGATGGGATCGCTGCAGCAGATATGCTGAACAATGCAGCCGGGGCCTCCATGGCGCTCGATCGTAAAGTGAGTCATTATCTGTAGATAACCACAACTTGTGAGTGTTAAAGACTGTGTACAAACATCCTCACAGTTTCCGCACTTGTTAGATCATGCAACATCCTATTTGCACCTTTTGGTGTTAGAGATTTTCAAGTCTAAAATAGGCTGTGGTCCATGATTTCTGCTATGTGTGTGTGTGTACCCCATGACTGCCTGAACATGTGACAATGGCTGCTTGGACTGTAGAGTATTTGGTTGAATGTCTGTATAAAGATATTTCTCTAATTAAAGATTTAATAGGGCTGTACTTTTATGAATGTGTTTGAGAATTGTGAAGAACTTGTGTGTGTTGTGCAGCCAGTCTATGACTTTGCATGGGTAATACTGAGTTATCATCTGTTGATTACAGCCGCACTTCAAGCCGGAGTTCGACCACCTGTTCTACTCACAGATGTCACAGGCAGTACTGCAGGTCAGATCATAAACACATTCTCGCCTTCATGTTGCTCTTTTATAACTTTTCCTCCGTGGTCTAGTGGTAGAGCGTCTGCCCGGAGAGCGGAAGGTCCGGGGTTCGATCCCGGGCCGCGTCATACCAAAAGACGTTAAAAGATGGTACTTGTTGTTACCCTGTCTGGCGCTCGGCATTAAGGGGCTAAAACAAGGACTGGTCGGCTCGAAGTCAGTATACTGTGTCTGAGTGGGGTATTCTTTTTAAACTGCGGCATGGTATCTCAGTGAGCTAGCACTATAAATCGGCATCAGTCCGGACTAGTACAAGCAGCCACACAAACACACACACATGCATGCATGTCGCTATATAAGTGCAATAATCTTGGATGCGATGTTGAACCCCATTTCACCTCACCTTTTATAACTTTTCAGGTTTTGGACATGTGGATTCTCAAAACAGTATCACATCACATTGCTACTATGTTGTTCTTGACGTTACACATGGATCAAGTCAGGGGAGCAGAAGACTGACTTCCATGAAAGTCCTTTGTGGACGAAATGGCTGAAACTTTCTTAATAATAATCATAAGACATCTGTTTATGTATTCCTAATCTCACCTTGTCTGGTCCAATCTTAGTCTTTACTTAGTCTTACCATGTTTGTTCTTGGTCTCACCGTCTGTTTACGTACAGGATCTATTCTGGTACTACTTCCTGGAGAAGTTCCAGTCCAGTCGCAACTCCCAGGTGAAGCTATTCAACCGTATCGCCCACAACTATGTGAAGCTGATGATCTATGCCAAGAACCCCGTCTACAGAGACACCTTCCTCAAGGTGGGACCACAATATGCATTTTCCGGCTTCCTTGGTTAAATCAGAGGATCTTCACAGGATTCCTTCAAGAAGTTTACAATAAACATGATTCTAATTTCCATATTGAGATAATTTAATTGTGGATTATCTGGTCCATACCTGATTATTTACAGGCCACCACCTATAGCTGTAATAATGCAGGTGTAGCATTAAAAAAACAAAAAACAATTTCATTCAATCATTGGGGGGAAAAGGCAACGATATTTGTGATCAACTGTGAGGTAAGGGATCTTATGGGTGAAAAGTCACATTTTGACTTCTTATTTTATTTTAAAACTACAGTATCCTAGGACAACAAAAATACAATTGATAACCTTCATTTCATATTATTACAGAGATACATGGCATCAAACATTTGCACTCATTTCCTGCAAAGTTCCATGTTCAGACTTATAACTGTTTATGTAATGATTGCAGTTATTTTATATAATGTCTGATTTATTGCAAGAAGACATGTATGCTGAAATGTTTAGATGTTTTTATTACATTTCAAACTAACAAGAGAATAATAAGATATTTTTGTACAGTCTGCACACATGGCAATTTTACAGAAGTAAATTGACGTCAAATGTCTTTCTTTGACGTCACGGGGGTGGTCGGGTAGCCTAGTGGTTAAAGCGTTCGCTCGTCACGCCGAAGACCCGGTTCCCGACATGTGGTACATCCCGGTACAATGTGTGAAGCCCATTTCTGGTGTCCCCCGCTGTGATATTGCTGGAATATTGCTAAAAGTGGCGTAAAACCATACTCACTCACTCACTCTTTGACGTCACAGCACATTTGTATCCTAGCACCGTGAAGGTCCCTTTTCTCCTGGTTGGTCACATTGTGCTTCTATCCATGACATGTTTCTGACCTGCGTTCTGTGTGTGAGCAGGAGTACCCCATGCTGATGTGCCAGGCAGTCTACTCCGCCTTCTGCCATGCCTTCCCCGATTCATACCGCCAGTTTGGAGAGGTCTTCAAGGATGACCTTGTGGCCCTCATCATGGAGTGGATGACCGGTACATGCATCCTTGTTGTGTGATTGTTGGTGTCATCATTGTGTCAGTGTTTGTGCGTTGTTTCAGTGTGTCATTGTTTCAGTGTGTCATTGTTGGTGTTTATATCATTGTTGTGTTAATGTTTGTCATTGTTTGTGTAATGTTGTTTGTGTCATTGTGTAAGTGTAAGTAGTCTGAATAGAGCTGAGATAATGTGGTCTGTGTTGTGTTCCAGGGCTGCGTCTAGCCCCAAGGGTGTGGCTGACATGGAACATGGAGCATCTGGAGCCAGCCAACATCAAGATGAGGGAAGAAATACTCTCACAGAAAAACAAGAAGTGTAGGTTTCACATTCATTGTACTTGGTTTCCCATCTGTTGTTCCAGGTTTCACATCAGTTGTACTAGGTTTCCTATCTGTTGTATCAGGTTTCTCATCTGATGTACTAGGTTTCCCATTTATTGTACCAGGTTTCCCATCTGTTGTTCCAGGTTTCACATCTGTTGTTCCAGGTTTCCCATCTATTGCACTAGGTTTCCCATCTATTGTACTAGGTTTCCCATCTATTGCACTAGGTTTCCCATCTCTTGTACTTGGTTTCCCATCTGTTGTACTAGGTTTCCCATCTATTGTACCAGGTTTCCCAACTGTTGTTCCAGGTTTCCCATCTATTGCACTAGGTTTCCCATCTATTGTACTAGGTTTCCCATCTATTGCACTAGGTTTCCCATCTCTTGTACTTGGTTTCCCATCTCTTGTACTTGGTTTCCCATCTATTGTACTAGGTTTCCCATCTGTTGTACTAGGTTTCCCATCTATTGTACCAGGTTTCCCAACTGTTGTTCCAGGTTTCACATCTGTTGTACTAGGTTTCCCATCTATTGCACTAGGTTTCCCATCTATGGTACCAGGTTCCCCATCTATTGTACCAGGTTTCCCATCTGTTGTACAAGGTTTCCCATCTGTTGTACCAGGTTCCCCATCTATTGTACCAGGTTTCCCATCTATTGTACCAGGTTTCCCATCTGTTGTACCAGGTTCCCCATCTGTTGTACAAGGTTTCCCATCTATTGTACCAGGTTTCCCATCTTTTGTACCTAGGTTTCCCATCTGCTGTACCAGGTTCCCCATCTATTGTACCAGTTTTCCCATCTTTTGTACCAGGTTTACCATCTGTTGTACCAGGTTTGCCATCTGTTGTTCCAGGTTTCACATCTGTTGTTCCAGGTTTCCTTTCTGTTGTACTAGGTTGCCCATGTGTTGTACTAGGTTTCCCATCAGCTGTACAAAGGTTTCGTATCTGTTGTACCAGGTTTCCCATCCATTGTGCTTGGTTTCCCATCTATTGTACTAGGTTTCCAATCTATTGTACCAGGTTACCCATCTGTTGTACTTGGATTCCCATCTGTTGTACCAGGTTTCACATCTGTTGTACCAGATTCACCATCTACTGTACCAGGTTTCTCATCTGATGTACTAGGTTTCACAACAACTTCACGCATCAAATCCTTGAAAAATACAGCAATAAACTAACTCTCAATTTTTTTCTCTGCATTGTAAGTTGGAAGTTTAATTATTCATATATGTTAAATAATGTGTTATTTTATGGTAAAATTGTTGTATTATGTAAATATCAAGTTCTACATATGCCATTGTGCCCCTGCAGCCAGCACGGCAATCAACTTTGACTTCCTGGACAATCTGGTGTCCAGCGTCCCGAGTCAGTACACATCCAATACCTCCCTCAACCAGTCAGGCTCGCGGTCGTCTCTCTCCTCAAACTGGACTCAGAAGAAACATGTACCCAGGATACCTCGCATTCGTAAAAGCACTCAGTCTATGTCTCGTAAAGTTTCCACTCTGAAAGTTGTCTCCCCTGCATCCTCCCAGGATTCCCATGTGATTGATACAGTTGCCGACGCACAGGTCAGTCCAAGGAAACCGTCGCAGAAGTTGCTGGACCCTCGGAAGTTGTTGGAGGCCCTGACTCCGATCCGAGAAATGACAGGGGAAGATGACGAGCCCCACCCAGACATGGAGGACAAGAAGCTCTCTCAGATGTCAACATCCGCAGCCAAGGAGGTCTCACACTCCCGGGACAATGCAGGCAAAATCGAGGTCAGTGAATTCATGCAGTATCACAGTAAACGAATCAAATGGGAGATGTTGCATAAATAGATTATTATACAAGAATGTGTGTTGAACTGACTTTACAAAACGAGTGTTTCTTCTTCTATTTCCTTAGCGAGAACGAGGGAATACATGAATTCTTTCAACAGATTCATAAAATCAGTTTGACACACATTCTTTATTACCAATGGAATCCATTTGAACCATTTTCTAGTGTGACGTCATTCCGACCTTACATCACAATAACATTTCAATGCCGTCAACAATGCTTTACAGATGACATAAACAATACACTGGTGTGCATGAAGTGATATTTACAATAGCGCACAAATTTTAAAGGGGTACAATGTGTGAAGCCCATTTCTTGTGTCCCTTGCCATAATATTGCTAAAAGGGTTGTAAAACCATAATGGCTAACTACTCCATCCTATCTATCCTAAGTAATAACAAGAGTTTGCCGATAACGTGGCTATATCCCCCGCCCCTGTTGCAGTATTTACCCCCGGTATGACATAATTATATGTAAACAAACCCTAACCTTTTTTAACCGAGGTGGAACTTGTCATGGAAATTGTAAAAAAAAGGAGTTTGGAACCAAAGTCCATCTTGCTGCCATGGAAACGTAAAAAAATAAAAATTTCCAAATAGCAAAAGGCACCAGTTAAGCATGTACCTGACAAACCTGCAAAGTTTCATGAAAAAGTAATGAACAGTTTCTGAGTTATGCTCCGGAAACGAAACATGACGGATGGACAGAGCCCGTTTCTATATCCCCCCGAGGGGGCACGGGTGGCCCAGTCGTCTAAGGCGCCGTGATTCGCTGTGCAGAGTTGCGTCCCTTGGGCACGCCAGAAACCTATGATTGTGGGTTCGAATCCTGGTTCGCCCCGATTAAGTTTCTAGGTTTGTCAGCACCATACCCGTGCATGTGGGTTTCACCGAAGTGGTAAACGTCCGAGACCTGCATCACTTCGGGCTTTCCTCCCACATTAAGCTGACACGCCGCGATATAACTGGAATACTGTTATAAGCGGCGTTAAACCCAACTCACTCACTCACTCTATATCCCCCGCCAACTTTGTTGGGCGGGGGAATATAAGAACAGAATGGATATATCATACACTGGTTCACTTCTTTATTCCTGCTGATTGTGGATTAAGTTGTTTAACATTGCAATCACCAGAATTCCAGCCACATCATGACAGCCTGTAAAATAAGCAACTCTGGGCCAGACAAACCAGTGGTTGATAGTATGAACTATGACTAGTTGCCTCTTTTAACAGGCAGTAGAGTATTGGGGACCTATTACCTGGGTACCCACAGGGTACCAAGTTTGATAGCAGTATGATTAAGTCTTGTCTATTTTCAGTCGCACCCTGCATGTCGTGGCCCCGACTTTGTGAGATCTGCCTTCAACATCAGTGGCCACAGTCCCTTGGTGGCACACTTCATGAGGATGAAGAACCTGACGGCAGAGCCTGGTGTCAACTTTCGGGTACAGAGGACGGAGATAGAAAACCTACCAGCATATCCTTCATATAGAATGTTTGTTGTTTAACGTTGCATTTAGCATGGTCCCAGCAGTAAGACAGTGGACCAGACAAACTAGTGATTGATGTCATGAAGATAAATCCATGCTGTCCTGGTACTATGAGAAGCTATCAACCAAATCACCAAGAATTCTTGCAACAAGCGTGGGGCCACTGTGGTACAAGTGGTAGAATTTAATAAGCAACCTCTGTTAGACAGTATGGTAGTGATTGCCCAATAATCAGTTAGTTATAACACGTCTGACACATCAATAATACCGCAATCAGTGAAGGCTGCAAAGCTCATTATCTTAAAGTGTAAATAGTGTCAACTGATCACTAGATATAAAAAGCTTTGGTGATAATTTCATATATTTTTTAACTTATCCTTCATTACTACCTAAATGCTTTTACTGCTGTTCTGCTACTAGAAAGGAGCTGTGAGAGGTCCAGGCTACAGAAGTTATTGTTCCATCCGGTTCCGTGGCTCATTCCCTCTCACAGCTACCACGTGACCAGAAGTGGCGATGTCACATATAATCACATTACTGCTAGTCATCGGACTGTACAGAGATTTGAGACTAAAGCTCCCAGTTTTCAACAACCAGATAGCATCCTTTTTTTTATCCTTTGATAACCAATACATTTCTCAATTGTATATATTAGACGTATCATACTGTTACCGTAGTTTGTCCATGTTTTTCCATCCACCATCTTATTTTTGCCACGTCATGCCTGCATGTCTTGTGCTTTGATATTTCATATGTCTATGTTGGCTCTTGTTCATAGGCCCTTTTCTCTTTGTTAATACACGTGTCTTCTTTGGTTGCAACCTTTGTCTATTTCATTGAACTTACATGCTGCGTTGCTCTTTTCAACACGTCAAATTGACCATCTTGGTTATCTCACCTTAAGGAATTGGGATTCTGAGTACAAGAGGCAACTCAAACCTAGACGGTCTTGACTTTTACACCTCGGAGCTGACCCTGCGACCTCTCTGGTGGTAATTAATTACCCCAGACTAGAGGGTTTCATGCGTCCATTTGTTCCAGCTGTTTGAATCTAAATTTAGAACTTGCCCCACGCCCTTTTCTACTTTTCCGTTTTCCATGACTGAACTTCACATCTCCTACTTACTCTCTCTCATGTGGCTCTATCGGACAGGAATGGTCTGTTGTTTCGGTTTTCCCCGCTCAGGATGCTAAATGATTACTGGACTGGTTGAAGGTCTATCCTGAAATTCCATCTGAAAGGTATGCCCCTTTCCGTTCCGTCTGACAAAAATGCATTAAGGTCGTGATGCAGGATAAGTTAATAAATTTAGTAAAATCTAAATGTTTTTCTCATTTGGATACTTTTCCTGCATTACCACTCTATTGTGTCCACACATTGCTTTGCATCCTCCCCACAAGGTTTCAGATGGTCGTACCAGCAGTAATGCAGGTTAAATATCCAAATGTAAACAATGTTTTTCAACAATATTGAATTTTACTAATTTTGGGGCCTCCTATTTCAAATGACAATATTTTGTGTATATCACATTCTGCTGGACATGATTTAAAACCTCTTCCAGTTGAAGTTTATTCCTTAACCAGCACCACTCTAGATACCCCAACCTACCGGGACGTGATCCGTACATCTCTTAAGACTATCAAAGACATAGAGCAGCAGTTCTCACAGTAAGTTCATCACAATTCATATTGACCTAAAATCTCTGACCATATACTATCTCAGCATGAGCAAATAGTCCCAACTCCTGTAACTCGGCAATGTGAGACAATGTCTTGTCTTCACTGTTAGTGAGGTGAAGGTGAAATGGGGTTTAACGTTGCGTCCAAGATTATTGCACTTAAATAGCGACGTGTGTGTGTGTGTGTGTGTGGGGGGGGGCTGCTTGTACTAATCTGGACTCATGCCGCTTTTATAGTGCTATCCCACTGAGTTACCATGCTGCAGTTAAACACAAATACAGCATACTGATTCCGAGCCGACCAGTCATTGTTTTAGTCCCTAACTGCAGAGCACCAGGCAGGGAAACAAGTACCATCTTTTGGTGTGACACTTGAGATTGAACGCACGACCTTCTGCTCTCTGAGCAGATGTTTCATAGTTTGTGTTTCACTCCGGACATGATTTACAGATTATAACCAAGATGAATGTGCTTTGCTACAATACTTCACGTTAACGTTTTCCAGCAACTTATCAACAGTTAACTCAGTTTAACAAACTTAAAGAGTAGGCAACTTTGAAACAACTAAGTACATGTTGATGTTATTGCCTTCAGAATGTACACAAGGAACATGCGAGAGAATGCGGTGTTTGTGAAGAAGCAGAATGCCATCATGCGGGAGCACGTGCAGAAAGAATCAGCCCTACTGTCACGACCTAAGGAGGTCAAACGGCTCAGTGATCTGCTCATTCTGGAACAGAGAGTGAGTGTTGTATCCTAGGGATGGAACATTGTAGTGAGGAGATAGTTATATCCTGGATGGGTTTATTGCAGCAAGGGGGGGGGAAAGAGTTGTATCCTGGATGGGTTCATTGTAGCAAGGGGGGAGCTGTATCCTGGATGGGTTGTTTTAGGAATGGTAGTATTTGAAGCTCGGATGGGTTGATTGGAGGGTGGGTGAATGTAACACTTCCTCAGGAATATTGATCTGGTGAAATATCTTTGCAGAAAGGTCAAGATTCTATATCTGCCGGAGCAGATGCCGCCATAGAAGCAGCACTAATGGCCCAAGAGTGAGGCTGTTGGAGACGCAGCATGATCCCACCTGATCCAACATTGTCTGTGATACACCCAGTGCGTCTGTGATACACCCAGTGCTTCTGTGATACTTCACTGTTGTTGACTTTACAGTATCTGTACATAACCCAATATGTAGTGTCTTCACTGTGCAATATGATATGGTAGATGCTTGTTTGGAAAATCTACAAATTTTATAAACCTTGTTCTATAACCAAAGATTAAATTTGTGTTGCAAGCCGTGTAATCCATATTGACCAGCTGACTTTTATGTGATAATTTTGTTAAACAGTGTGTGTATACATGTGCTATTGTGTTATGTTTGTCAGGTATTTTATACAAAAAAAGTTATGACTACATGACATACATATTATAAATTTATTTGCATAACATCTTCATCAATCACCTTTACATAAGCACTTTAATGATGTGAAATTAAACGTTTACAGGCCACTAATTGAGGACACAACACCACGCTCACATTAAGACATTTCACACAGAAACATCAAAATGCATTATAAAATTTCAACAAGACAGGCATGACTCTGAATAAGCTCACATCAGCCAAATATGTCACTGAGTGAAACATTGGTGATTCTGTCATTGCCAAATTCTCTGCATTTTGTTGGGAAAACAATTATACCCAAAGGATTGTTCATTGTTGTTCAAAGAGGTAATAGAGGATTTGAGATTTCCTGAGTAAACTGTCATGATTAAAACAAACATTTGTAGATTTATCAGTGTTCCCATTTAAAGGTAATTACCAGTTTTTTACCGGTAAAATTAGGCTTGGACCGGTAATTCATGTGACTGCCAGTCCCTGTGGCCAGGCAAATATAGTATTTAATAAATCTGTGATATTCATACAAGTATATGTTTCGAATACAGTCAGCTTGTCTGATGCCGTCAGGGTTTCCCCTTGTTGATTTTTAGTACAAGAAAATAACATTCTGCTTTGAGGTTAAAAGTATATTTGTAGTGACTTCATCTTGAAATATTAAAAACAAAAAGGAGAAAAAGGACTGAACTTTGTGTGAATGATGTGCAGATCTAACTAAGTCACTTCAGCATGTTCAGAGATGAAATGAACGTGATTTTGAAAGAATTAAAAGCAGGTAATATTCATACGTTTTTTTACATGTTTAAAGTTGGGACTGACAAAAATTTGGGGGTTTTACCGTTACTGGTAATTTTTCGAGTTACCAATCCCCCAATACGGGGTTAGAAAGGTACTTTTGTCAGTGTGCCACAAGGCACGCATAGAATTTCAGTTGGATCCATCTTCAAGTCATTTCACCTTGAACAGTTTTTCATTGAGATATTGACAAATGTCAGGTTCTTATGGTGCCTCCAGCATGTTCATTCTTATCAATGGCTTCCAGTCACACATTTGTCAATGTCCTTACCTATCATCGGTTGAAACTGGCCAATAGTTTAAATAGTCATAAGCACATTGAAGTAGAAATTTGCCACTCTCAAGGGTTTTGCTATGTTATAAGATGTTAGTTTCTATCACTGCCAGGAATTGTCATTCAAAACACTAAATCAATGTGTCCAATTCAGTTCAAGGTAATGCAGAGAAGGGATCATTTTCCCATAACCCTTAAGCATGATCCAAGTCCAAAACACTGAATAGGGATAGTCTGTGTCAAGGTGAAGGACTGCTTGGTGATGTTGAAATACAAATAGGATTCTGTCAAGGAACATGAAAAACAAGACATAAATTTGTGCATTCCTTCTCCTTAATGCTGACAAGCTGTGTTCAAAATTAAGCATGATTATATTTAGGCTGAAGTCCTGTTGAATGAGATGGATTTAATGCCTCTTTCATGGATAAAAGCCTATAAAATGATACAGCGCACCTAGGAAGTCTTTATAACATGTCTCAATCACTAACAAAATATAAATATCTAAAATCAATAATGCCCATGTTTAAAAGAGTATGAGGTACTTATGTTGATGGCTAAAATCTTGGCCAACTTTCATTTCTTGTACACGAACATGCAGCAGGATGACTAGCAATAGCTGGTAGATGAACTGAGTTACTCCAAAATCAATGAAGTCAAACTTATAGGAATTGATGTTATTTTCCAGGTTTCGTCAATATTATTAGTTCCATCAAAATGAGTCCGGTGTTTCCTTGACGAGGTGAAACTCACATTTTAAGACCCAACTTGTAGACATCCCATCAATATCAAAGGAATATGCCAGCCATGAAATTTCTTGCTCTCTCACTCACTCACTCACTCACACACACACACACACACACACACACACACACACACACACACACACACACACACACACACACACACACACACACACACACACACACACACACACTCTCTCTCTCTCTCTCTCTCTCTCTCTCTCATGAATTCAGACCCCTCACACAGTCGCTCATCATGCTACACTAGAAGACACTACTATGTACACTAGTCTAATGTGGAGTCTCTACTAAACATAGCCACATAGAATCTCCTGGCGCTTGTCCTCATACAGAGTCTTCATCTTGTCATATCCACAGTTGGCATCAAGAATCTGAAATATATTTAAATACCAAAAGCACTAGCTAAAAACACATGATCCAGACACACTGCAATGTACATCTGTTAGTTTTATTTGTTGTTTCACGGCACCATATTCCAGCTATATGACTAATTCATTAAATCTGGACCAGATTATCTGGATATTGATATTGTCAAAAACGATATGGCCATCAGCAAAGTCACTAAAACCACACTGGGTGCATATTTAATGGATCTAAATTCTTCACAAAAGGGTATACTCACCAACACAGGAGCAGGGACGGAACCTAACGTCTGCTTCACCAGCCAATCCTCGTGGAGGTCGTGGAGGTCGTCAATAAGTTTCTGTAATGAGGAATGTCTGGTTCTCCACAGTCTCATCTAGTATAGTGCACAGGTTCAAATTACCACAGAGTATAAATACCTTGATCATGTTGATGCGCTAATAATTCAAGCTTCTGATCATGTTGCGAAGTAATTTGTTTTGAATACAAACATATATATATTTGTAACTTGTAATCAGGTGACGTGAGGTGAGGTGAAATTGGGTTTAACGTCGCGTCCAAGATTATTGCACTTATATAGCGACGTGCATGCACGTGTATGTGTGTGTGTGGCTGCTTGTACTAGTCCGGACTGATGCCGATTTATAGTGCTAGCTCACTGAGATACCATGCCGCAGTTTAACATGAATACCCCACTCAGACACAGTATACTGACTCCGAGCCGACCAGTCCTTGTTTTAGCCCCTTAATGCCGAGCGCCAGACAGGGTAACAACAAGTACAATCTTTTAACGTCTTTTTGTATGACGCGGCCCGGGATCGAAACCTGGACCTTCCGCTCTCCGGGCGGACCCTCTACCACAAGACCACGGAGGCGGTCTAACTTGTAATCAGAATGCTCTTTGTCAAATGTCTTTGTATAGGAATTATCATGTATTTGGATTATGACATACCTTTGGCACACTCGCTTCTTCCTTTCGCAATCTCTTTTTTATTCGCTCATAGCACACTTCAGGGTCGGCCCGCAAATATACTGTAACAATAGAACACATTAAAATGCCTGTAGAGACAATATTATGATTATGTTGACCATCTGGGTGTAAACATCAGCAACTGAACAACTCCATTAATGACGTCATTTGAAATACAGTGTCTGTTGTTAACGCCAAATGATCAACAATATTCCAGCTGTATGATGGCGGCCTGTAAATAATCGAGTCTGGATTAGATAATCCAGTGATCGACAGTGTGAACAATGATCCATGCTGTCATGGTATAATGACATAATCAAGAATCACAATCAGGAGAAACCTTGGATTCAAACCCTATAAATGATGAACCTGTAATGATTACAAACATATGAATAGACAATGCCTTTTAGAAAATGGTCAAACGTAACATATGTTATATTTGGGATTACAATTTAAAGTACAAATTCTACTACTCTTTAGGTGGAGTCCCACTTACAAACTTATCCTTCACACAATGTCAGCGACCTAACCCACTTGGCCACTGAGGCTTCCACAAAAATGGTACTGGTAGCAGGGCTCGATTTAAGAAACTTGATTAAAATTGCACCAGGAGCATGTTGACATGAAAACCTTGTTGCACCAGACAAAACCAGGTTGCACCCTGGTCCCATATATATCACAGTTGAAACAGGCCAGCCTGCTGCCAGTGTCACAGGAACATATGCACATAATCTTAAATTAACCACAGTTTGATAACGTTAAGCCCCAAAGCATGACAAATTATATGTAACATTGGTATTAGTGACGTAGCATGGTAAATAACCTTTAGAAGTACTGAGTGTTCAAAGTTCGATTTTGTGTGGTGGTTTGTCAGAGACAATTTCTGAAAATGTTTGACATGCACCTGGTGCATGTTGACATAATAGTAGGGTTCATTTTTCAAAAACAGGTTGCACTTTTCCATGTTTTATAGCTAAATCAACCCCTGGGTAGTCAAGATCACATACTTTGTGTACCCCTCTGACAAGTGTAAATTGGCAGGGGTCCCATGACCCAAAGTTATGAATACACAATGCCTTTCAGAAAGTGGTCAACAACACAGCTTATCACAAATGTGCTGGCACACTGGAACTAAACATTACTCACCGATCAGATCTAACTCAGCCTTCTGTGTTTTTGACAACCAATCAAACCATTCCGTCAGTACTGCATATTCCAGGCCGTTAATAGTTTGGCTAAAATAATACAATCCTCAAAACTGCATTGTCATTCTTCATTGTTATTACAACTTAGAAGTATTGATACAAACAATTCTTCTTAAAACAAATTCCGGGAACAAATTAAACATGCCTTATCATAACATTTAACATTTGGTACTAGAGCATGAATAGTTTTATGGGCAATGTCTTCACTACAAGATGGAGCCATTATGAGAGTGATACACCATGCCATGGTTGGCTGACCTGCGGTAGTTGTTCTCCACGAAGCAGTAGCGGGTGCTGTACAGGGAGCGCTCTAACATCTTGATGGGCTTGGTCTGAAAACATCATCAGTCTTGCATTGCTACTGGTGCACCAACTTAGGAACTGATGTCTACGACTGTCTCAGGCTTTCTACAACAATAAATCAATCTGGCTTTCCAAAAATTAACATTTTGCTTATAACCAAACACAGGTGATTATCATGATGGCTGTATCACAAGAACAGCTTGCAACATTTAACAGGTATATTGTCTGCCACATAATTTCAAGCAGTGCTTCAGATCATGTCAGATTAATGTGTTTGTTGTTTAATGCTGCACTCAGTAATATTCCAGCTATATGACGGCGGTCTGTAAATAATTGAGTCTGGACCAGACAATCCAGTGAGTGACTTCATGAGCATTGATCCACGCAATTGGGATGCATTGACTTGCATCAGCCATGTCAGCGGGCCTGGCCACCTGATCCCATTAGTGGTCACTTACGGCATGCATGGATTGCTGGGGACCTATTCTAACCCTGATCTTCATGGGTATCAGATTGAAGTGAATACAATGATTGGTCAGACATTTGGATTTTGATTGGTAACCCTTAGTCTGAGCATACTGCGCTTAGCTCAACGTCACGACTTAGGTGACGACATACATGACGACTTACGTGAGGCTTGGTGTGCATCTGGATCCGGGTGAGTTGAGCATACATATTAAATGAGAAACTCCATCTTGAAGGATCCTCATACAACAGGCCCTGTAACAATGAACATTTAATATCTGAAACTGACACACACACAAATTGTATCATTGTGATAACTACAGCCTCGCATGTACCTTTACACATGTTTACAATAAACAACAACATAATAACAATAATCTATTCAATCAAAATGATCAGGATGCTTTGACTGGCATGCCTGACTCCAACATTGAAATGCCGTGGTGTTGACATGACTCACCAAAGCATTATGCCCCTGTATATTGGTCCACTGCTCTACTGGTTCTTTCAGTGCCTGAAACATGCACACATGTTGACACCTCACTGACAATAAAAACAAGGGCTTTTAACATGTTTAATTAATTCACAAGGTATATACTTAACCTCAGTCCACAATGACTTGATCACAGCTCCCCACCAGGGTTTTACCCTAATGGGATAATACCATGCCTCAAGTATGTGCAGTGATCCCAATATGATAATACCATGTATCAAGTATGTGCAGTGATCCTAATATGCTAATACCATGCCTCAAGTATGTGCAGTGATCCCAATATGATAATACCATGCCTCAAGTATGTGCAGTGATCCTAATGGGATAATACCATGCCTCAAGTATGTGCAGTGATCCCAATATGATAATACCATGTATCAAGTATGTGCAGTGATCCTAATATGCTAATACCATGCCTCAAGTATGTGCAGTGATCCCAATATAATAATACCATGCCTCAAGTATGTGCAGTGATCCTAATGGGATAATACCATGCCTCAAGTATGTGCAGTGATCCCAATATGATAATACCATGCCTAAAGTATGTGCAGTGATCCCAATATGATAATACCATGCCTCAAGTATGTGCAGTGATCCAAATATGATAATACCATGCCTCAAGTATGTGCAATGATCCTAATTTGATAACACAATGCCTCAAGTATGTGCAGTGATCCTAACGTGATAATACCATGCTTCAAGTATGTGCAGTGATCCTAATATGATAATACTATGCCTCAAGCATGTCAAGTATGTGTAGTGATCCTAATATGATAATACCATGTCTCAAGTATGTGCAATGATCCTAATATGATAATACTATGTCTCAAGTATGTGCAGTGATCCTAATATGATAATACCATGTCTCAAGTATGTGTAGTGATCCTAATATGATAATACCATGCCTCAAGTATGTGCAATGATCCTAATATGATAATACTATGCCTCAAGTATGTGCAGTGATCCTAATATGATAATACCATGCCTCAGGTATGTGCAATGATCATACTATGCCTCAAGTATGTGCAATGATCCTAATGTGATAACACAATGCCTAAAGTATGTGCAGTGATCCTAATATGATAATACCATGTCTCAAGCATGTCAAGTATGTGCAGTGATCCTAATATGATAATACCATGTCTCAAGCATGTCAAGTATGTGCAGTGATCCTAATGTGATAATACCATGTCTCAAGTATGTGCAGTGATCCTAATATGATAATACCATGCCTCAAGTATGTGCAGTGATCCTTATATGATAATACCATGTCTCAAGCATGTGTAGTGATCCTAATATGATAATACCATGCCTCAAGTATGTGCAGTGATCCTAATATGATAATACCATGTCTCAAGTATGTGCAGTGATCCTAATATGATAATACCATGCCTCAAGTATGTGCAGTGATCCTAATATGATAATACCATGCCTCAAGTATGTGCAGTGATCCTAATATGATAATAAGCACCAGTCCAGATAAGAACACCAGATTCACCGCAGCACTGCTCAGTTTCATGTCAATACTCTGTAGTGTTATATTTAACGTCACATGCAAAATCTCTCAGGATCATCCCTGGAACCGCTCACCTGGACACTGGCTGAATGCTTGAAGTATTCCAGGAGTGTAGTTTTCCCACAACCAATGTTCCCTTCCACAGAAACCTGTCAACATGTCAGTCAGATACTATGTCACAAACTTCATTGCAAAGAATACCACTATTCCGTACCATGTACACAACCATACTCACACAATATCTCAACATGGAGACTGAAGCTGGAGACTTTCAGATCAAAATACAACATGTGGCTTTAAGTCTTTTACTTTATCAACATGGTCAATGTAACCAATGCATTTGTGCAGCACTACAAATTCAGAAAGTCCCAGGGCTGGTCTGGGTTTAGGTCTCAATGCTTACTTCAAACTTGGCTTACATATGCAACATGACACAAATGTAGAAAAAACATATAATTCAACATGTCCAAAAACACATTTATTAAAAACAGATCAAAAGTAATTCTTTTGAAAGCAGATTAATACGGTCAACTTCTTTGATGTTGTTACTCATGAAAGTATTTCCCTCAAACATGCAAAGCAACACAGAGATGCCAACCCTACCTGAAGCTCTGGAGTGAACTCAGTAATCAGTAGGTAAAAAAAAGAGCAATTTCATTTGAAAAAGGGTAATGTTAATATTTTAGAATGGTTGACATTAAATTGCATATTTATATACTTATCCTATCCCACACTATGCATTTCTTCCTTGAACAAAGCTTCCTCTTCTAAAACATTTCACCCAAACACACCCAGCATCACCATGGTCACCACCCACACAAAAGGGTCACGCACTGTAATTGACTTGAGTTGATTTTACCACTAAACTACCCCTGTCACTCCTTCTCCTTCTTAGAATTGACAGGCTAGCGGAGCTGTGATGCGGGGATGGTTGGGACAATGGGAGGGCATATAGCATGTCAGAAAGGATTAGTACGTAATTATACAAGCTAATGTAAAATTTACAAATTTTTAAACCTGCCCTATCTCATACTATGCATTTATCGCTCAGTTGGGCGGTGAGGCATAGATACCCTAGCCTGTATACACTACAACCTTGAGATGCACACAACGAAACTGGTGCTAAAAAACGATATACATGAAAAATTGAAAACACTGCCTAGTGTCGTAAAGATATGAACTTGTGAGTATGTAAACACACCATAAGAGCCGGATGTAACATCATGAAATCAGGTATGACGTGTTACATGTTTTCATCCTTACAAAACGACTGCATAGCTTTGAATAGAAATCAGTTCTACGAGACAGACCACACCATTATCTCCGACAGGCAAAAGTGAGTGAGTGAGTATGGTTTTACGCCGCTTTCAGCAATATTCCAGCAATATGACGGCGGAGGGACACCAGAAATGGGCTTCACACATTGTACCCATGTCGGGAATCGAACCTGGGTCTTCGGCGTGACGAGCAAACGCTTTAACCACTAGGCTACCCGACCGCCCCCCCCCCGACAGGCAATAGGGTCAGCCAGCTTGGCATCTCTTCTACTCTTTTGCAAAGCTAACAATCAAGCCATGGGATTAAAGCATGCTAAGAGGAGAAGAGAAACGATTGACAACATGCACAAGAGGATCATCAAACCAATACTGAGAAATGATGTGCCGAAACCAGAAGTGAGCAGGTAAGGGCATGGGACACCGCCAAAATGGCCGCACCTTATGGCGCCTTTGATTTTGAGGACTATAGTCTTCTCTACAGATGAGGTAGCTCAACCTCCACTGGGTATTCAGCCCGGGAACTCGAATAATAATAAGCAAAGGAGCAACAATTCCGATATATATTTTGTATATACAGGATACGGAGTACTGGGCTGCAGGAGCAGGTACAAGTATCGTCTGTCTGAGCTGGTGTGCAGATGTCAATTGTTGCGCCTGGACCAAGGGACCTAACCAGTGCTGGCTCTGTACTCAGTTGAATGAGATGTCATGTAGATAGTGGGAAGCGAAGACAGTACTGGACTTCAAAACAATCCTTCATGATGGCGGACAGGGTGCAATTGCTGTGGAAGGCCATGGTAGAGGTGATGGCTCTAGTCTCATGTGGATTGGATGTCACAAGAGGAAGCAATGGTAAGGGAGACTTCAATAGTGGCCACCGTGGAAAGTGTGATGAAGAGTCTCTTGCAGGCGTGCCGAAGTGGTCACGCAGCCTCTCAATAGATAGGGAGCACTCCAACCGGACATAAGGAGAGGTCTTCATGGTCTCCTGGGCTCAGGATAGCCGCCAACGACAGATGGTAATCAAACGGGAGTTGATTCTTTGTGATGAGAAGACCTTCCCATTCTGTATTCTCAAGATTGAGCATTTCACTCACTCTAGCAGTGGCCAGGGCCCGGAGAAAGACCGTCTTAAGGGTGTCTCAACAAGTGGTTCATACGCTGCAGTAGTCAAATGGCGGAGGATGACATTAAGATCCCAAGTGGGTGGCCAGAATAGAGAAGACTGGTCAGCCACCATATAAGACCGAACTAGGGACTGTAGATCTTAGATCCTTAGTTGAAAGGATAATGACGGAGTTGATTGCAGCGAGATCAGTATTCAAAGTGGAGCCCTTACGCTTCAAAGTAGATCTCAGATGTTGTAGATACTTGGTGACCTGTTGATGAGAAACAGTCACCGGTTTGGTGATGCCACAAGGTTGACAGTAAGCTTCGAATGCTTTCCATTTATGGTCCTATAACACCTTTGTGGAGGAATGATTAGCCTCCGTGATGGTCATCATGGTCATAGCTACTCTTTTAGAATACCCTTTGGCGACAAGTGACTTCTTGTGATGAGCCATACACAAAGATGGAGGGTTTCGAGCAACGGATGCGGTAAGCTGGAGTGAGGCTGGAGAAGATCGTCCAACAGTGGAAGATGGTTGAACTTAATTTCCCTGCAATCATTACCAGCATTGTGAAGCAACCTCGAGTTGGCCAGTAGGGAGCGGCCAAAAGCAGTCAAAGTTTGTTGGTGGAGCCGATCTTGTTGATATACCAGAAGACTGATAGATTGTCCTACTAGATCATAAGGTGACGGACAAAGGAGCTTGGCCTACTGGGACACCGCCAGAATGATCACCTTGAATTTGAGGTTGTTGATATGTAATCGTTTTTGGTCGATGGAAGGGGTGCTTAGTCGGGTTGAACAGACACTCGAGCGCAAACATTCAACATCACCTGCCCCCACTGAAGACACAGACACAGTGAAATCGGTTGGGAGATTTGTACCTGGAAGATGTCACTCTGAAGGTAGAGCTTCAGGAAGCACTGGATCAGTTAAGTTAAGTAGACCCCTCTGAGTGAGTGCTCTTGCCCAGTTTGGTGTCGAATAGAGCCCTGATGAACTGGAAACACTGAGTGGGAGTCGTCTCGGACTTCGCAACTTTGACGAGCCAACCGAGCTGCTGCGTAAACTCCAGATGTCACTGGTGAATGTCTAGAATTGTTTTGGCTTGAATACAATCGATGTACAACTCGAAGATGATCCCTCGAATGTGCAGGAACCTCATGATTGGCCTGGCAATATGGGTGAAAAGCCACAGGGTGAAGAAATTCCAAATGGGAGCACCTTCCATTGGTAGTGATGGCATTGAAAAAGGAACCTGGAGGAAATGGCAATGCTCCCAATTGATGGGTACATGTAGATACGCGTCTTGTGTGTCGATAATGACTATGTGGTCTTTCGGTTGATTGATTGTTTGAGGGATAGGAGCGTGATGGACAGCATGCGAAAATGCGGTGGATTTTCAAGATACATAGCGTTGAATGTCTTTATGTTGAAGATAATCTAGATCATACTGATTGTTTCTTTTCCACTCGGGAGCTGAGTGGCCGGATATTCACTAATGGAGTGTGGACGTTGTAGGGGGAGTCCTTATTACATTAGCAGTTTGTAAACTTTCTGCAGGAAGAGCTTGACAAAGGGATTGGCCAGGATGTACCAGTTCTCTGCCAAAAAAACCTTAGTCTTCTGCCTACAAAAGTCTCTACAATGGGCATGACGGGAGGCAGAAGTTCCCAGTCATCCAGTAGCTGATGCGAGTCACTAAGAGGAAGAGTCGCCTGGTTTGGCTAACTCTCCAACGTGCTTGGAAGCAGTGAAAGAACATATGTTGGAGGATTTGTAACCATGTTGTCCTTGACAACCATGACCTCTGCCAAGAAAAGAACTTGTTTTAGATCCAATAATCTAATGAAGGTCAAGCTGTGAAGGGAAGAATTGCGGTCGACAGGGCTCATTCTTTTCTTGGTTCTCCAGGTGCTGTTTCTGAAGCATAAGCATGTCCACGGACACATGGAGATGTGTGTCCGGAGTAAGATCCTGGGCAACTTCCTGAATCCTGTTGGTGAACAGGTACCGGGTAGAACATGGCAGCTGAAGCCAAACCATGATTGCAAGTATCAACTAAGTGGAACCAAGGAGAATGAAGTCGATCTTTCGTACACCTTCATAAAAGTCATCATTTTGGCTGTTTTTCAGAAAGACAACACTGTTTTGAGTTCTGAAGTAATATCGCTAACTGGTACATGCAGTGCAGCACCTGCAAAGATTGATGGATAAATGACTGTGTGTTAACAAAAACAACCACAGATCTTGTATCACCAACTTACCAAACTAACGGACATTTTAACACTATGTGAATAGAAAGAATGTCTCTCATTGGTCAGCATAGTCTCAAGGTAGAATGCTTAATGACACCAGTGATGCATTAGCAACTTGCTCTCTGTAATACTTTATGCATGTAAATAATCCACAGGCCTCAAAGTTTAAATTTTTACCAAGTAGCCATTATGGCTATAAGTATTTTTTTTCTAGGTAGCCGCCGGGAAAATCAAGATACTACTTGAATTTTGTTACTTGTGACTTGAACAATGATGCAATTTATGTTACTAGATTATATAGGTATATACTTGCTTATCCAAGTCAACTAAAATAAAGAACTAATTACATTAATTTTAATGTATTTTGGTTCATTGTCAACTTTAGAAGGAATTATTTGCAAGTACAATTATTAGCAGACATGTTTTCCAATATCAGCTGTTATTTATTTTTGTGTCTACAGATATGTAGCAATAGAATTTAGTCGCCACAAGATATTTTTCTAGGTAGTCATTTGGCTACCTCTGAATTTTAGACAGTAGACAAATTGAAATTTAGGTCACATTGGCTACCGCTTTAGTTGCAACTTTGAGGCCTGATCCATGAAAACAATTCAAAAATTGTAATCTGGGAGAGGACAAAGCATAACAGCTCAACTTCAGGCCACAAATCGTAATGATTGGCATCTGTTGCAATAATATAAGGGATTTACCTAGGATTCAAAAGCTAAGTCTCCATGGAAGGCATATTGGAAAATATATATTTATTTTGTTCAAAACTGCGATTTTCTCAAAGTTCTCATATTGTCAGCATGGTCAAGCTAACACATTCACATTGATTAGTTATTACAACTATATTAAGATGAATTGGGAAATATGTAATTCTCATTTGGGAAGTTTTTTAAAAGGCCTGACATCAAGTTAAAACCACGCAGTTTCAGCCATTTTGGCAAACTTAATGTCATTTTAGTCTTCACTGCTTAACCTCCCATTTTTCATCCAGTTCCTCAGGCATGGAAATAGAAAATTACCGTAAAGTGTTTCTGATCCTGGGGAAAAGTGAACTCCTTCTTCACATCACTGATGTAATCATCTGCAGCATCTGTAAGAACAATCACATAGATCATGTAGATATCTCTGCCAGATTAGCATAGACTACATGAATAGATGGCATCCTTTCTGGAACACATTGGAATCTAAAGTAAAATGAATTATTTCAAAGGTTCAGTCATTCATGACAATAGACAAAATCTAAGACATCATCTCAGAGGTACTTAGGCATGTTAGGGAAAAATCAACTGCTCATTTGAAAGCAAAACATGATAGAAAATTTGATTTTTCAGAATGACAAGTCGTATTTGGGTGACTTAAATCAAATTTTCCAGGACTGTGTAAGCCTAGCGCCCCTTGAAATCACCTCAATTTCATGAACGGTATGAACAAGTGGAAACAAAGCAATGAAAATGTGAACGAAAGTCCTGTCCAACACTGGCAAATTTTGATAAATATGATGGTCATGAAACTGCCATTAAATATAAATCAAGATATAAAGTAACTTTCTACATTAGTTTGAGGACACCATAGGATGTCGCATCAAATGACCTTTCCAATCAGCATCAAGACTTATATACATATATATTCTAGCAGGCAATTACCAAGGATACTAAACTAATTGTCCTAGGCAAGAATATTAGGAAAATGTTGTTATTTTGTTCAAAATTGGGATTTTTTAATAAGTTTCTATTTCAGAGGCTTTTAACGTTATAACATAACATTGCCATTGCATTCAATGCAATAATGTAAAAAAATATAATGTAAGCTCTTCCTCTTTATTAGTCCTGCTATTATAGTTAAATACAGGTCACCATGACAAAACTGTTACATTAGTGATAAGTAGTAAAGTACATTAACATGGAATGACATTTTTACTGAATTTGAAGGTACAACAAAATAAGGCTGTGACATTATGTGGTTGTAGTGATTTAGAGCGCCACGTTATCTACACCAAAAAGGAAGCACTGTCACAGGACTTTTTGTGTTCTGTGAGTGTTTTCATGTACACAAATCTAAATTTACGAATCAAGGGGGCAAAATGTTTCAGAAAGCTGACATCTGATAGGCTCAAGAACCCAAATGTGACAGATACAACACTGTAGTTTGTACATATGTATTTCATTCACCTTCAGTGTTGCTGCTTTTAAGTGTTCAACATTAATGTTTAATTATATGTGAAGATAGATTAAATGTAGTTAATGTGTCCCTCATGTGGTAAGCCTTAACAAGCCCAAGCCAGGACATCCTCAACTGATTGGCCAAGCTAACCCTCAAAGTTGACCCTTTGTCTCACTGTATGTTCTCAGTCTGCACACATTTCTTACACCATTGTACACAGACAAGTTGACAAGGAAAATCATCTAAATCAGGTTAGTTTAATGTCTGTGTATATTTGTATTGTATGTTATTGCATTTAAATGTTGAAGTATATTACACCTATAAAACTAAACTTAACCAAATGTGTTTAATATTATCATATTCTCAGTGACAATCTATTTAAGTAAATGTAGTAAACAAGACATATAAATTGTAAGATTTGGTGATTACTAACATATCACTTTTCTGTCTCTTTATTCTTGTATGTATGAGGAAGAGTGTATGTGTTGTTTTGTGGAATTGTCTACGTTTTAAATGCTTTTGTGATTAGTTCTGTATAATATACAGTCTGTTCTATACCGGATCCGGAGTAATATTTTAAAATTGTATGTAAATAGCATAGTTTATTAATCATTGTTATAAAAGAATATATTCTGTTTAGATATCTGGAATAATAAGTCATGAAGACACCCTAGTCTCACCCACAGGGTAGGCACATGATTACTTGTAAGTTGTATAGTCAGTTTCTATATTTGTGTAACACATAAGTGTGTCACACCTGTAAATTCATGTATATGTATGTATTTTGAAAGAGATTTATAATCTCTTTACACTTAGATAATATAATACATGGAAAATTATTCTATTTGGTTCTTACATCAGTTAGCAGATTATTGTACAGTATATATAATATAGTATATAACTAATATATGAATAACATCTGTTTGTAATGTAAAACGGTTTGTACTACTGTGATGTTGATGACTGCATTATGTGTATTGTTAATATTACTTATCATTCCTTTAATATGTTTCAGGGTGTAGATAAATATATGACATCCATTGGCGGAATAAAATATCTCTCACCTGAGCATGTGTTTGCCTATTACTTATTCACCGCCCTGTTACAAAACATCCTTCACTTACTTTGGGCAATCAAAGTTAGGTAAGGGTTCACCTTCAACACAACCTCCAGTGACGATGTCCTCAGATCTTCACAGAGGTACCTCATCAGAGTAAAAATATTTTGATTGAGTTTGGTCCAAAAACAAGCGATTTTTATTTTTTTCTACAAGGTGATGCTTAACTGTTATCTTGAAAAATGTCTGGGGTCATTTTTCGAAATAACATATTTCCAAAAGCATGGCTGCATTCTGTAGCCCCAAAATGAAGACTGGAGACTTCTTCCATCAAAAATTGTTCCTTATCTGATATATTCAGTGTATTCTTTCAGAGACAAAGTGGTGTAGGACAAAGATGCACATGCATTATCCGACCAAGGAAATCATTATAGCATTTCAAAGAAAGTTTATTTGATTATTTAATTTAAGATATTATGAAAATGCACCCATTCTTTGACAACAAGCAAAATTGCAAGTTTAGCCCATTATACAGGTACAAAAATACTCACCCTGTGATGGTGTCTTTAGTTTCATACTTCGTAAGTTTTCTAACGTCCCCAACATTTCTCCAAATCTTTCATATGACGTCCCTGTCGCTGATTTTGTTTTTTTAGATCGCGTCGGTTGATCCCCTAAAAAATGTCTTCTGGCGCAAATCCATGTAAAGGAGTTTCCCGCAATCGTAAAAACCGCCAGGGAGTCAATGAATATACGCTGATTGGTCAATCTTCTCCACGCCATCTGCTGGAAACTTTAGGAACTAATATTGTAAACAACCTCCTGTCGGCTGACTGCTCAGAGGGACAGCTTAGGCTTCGTTTCACCACGATTTCATGGACGCAAAAGGATTTGTATTCAACTACAAACACAGATCTACTAATACTAAAAACAAACAAAACGGAATTGCTTCACATAAGATCATAAGTTACTCCTCATCGCAGATTTCTCAGCACAACACGTCAACACTAATCAGTCATTGAGTCAGTAATGGACCACTACCACAGGTCACGTCTGTCTCCATGACGGATAACCTTCGACTTCGCAATGCTGTGTCCTTATAAACATGTCACATACACAGATTCAAGCAGTGCTTTGGTTCGCATGTGATTGCACGCTCTATCGCAACACTTTACAGTTTGCGCACATGTTCAAAACTCGCTACAACACTGCGGGTGCAGTAAATAATCGCGTTCATTTCGCATTGACGCTGCCCGGAGATTTGGTGACTCGGGATTCTCCGTCATTTCCCGGAAGCACTGCTCGCCGGGTCGAAGTTTCCAAAAAGGCTGCGAAACAAATGCCATTTTATCTTAAAACTTGTTAAGTTGTTATTATCCATTTCTATACAAATACCCACCCCACTCCTCTACATATTCTTTTTATTCTTTTTCTGTAGGTATGTCACTTTTCCTTTTCGTCATCACATTAGTCACCGTTAAAGATCCGGGTTTAAATCGGACTTCAGCAACCCATGCTTGTCGTAAGAGGCGACTATGCTTGTTATAGAAGCGACTTGGTTGGTGCATGTCATCGTATCCCAATTGCGTGGATCGATGCACATGATGTTAATCATTGGATTGTGTGGTCCAGACTCGATTATTTACAGACCGCCGTCATATAGCTGGAATAATGAGCTAGGAGTGTTGCGTTAAACAACACACAAATAAACAAACAATACATAGGGCGATCAAATTAGATCAAATTAACAAAACAAGCCCATATTTCTATAGCTTGTGTTCAGTTAAAAATGAACAAGGAGAGTGAAAAACATGATGACCTTTCAGTGGGCTTTCACAGCGTGAGCCAGGTGTAAACGCACCTGCTCATAAATCTTAACGAGATTGAAATGGAGCCATCCTCTTGTATTCTCCATTCGATGATGAGGGTTTTTCACAGGGGGTAAAGCAACACAATGTGATGAACATAAATACAAAGCATTATACACCTGCTACCTCTATGATAGCACAGATATCACACAACAAAGTGTCTGTAAGGAGTATATCTATAATGAAGTGGATCATTTGTTATCCAACAGTATACTATAGTTTGCTCTTACTTTGATAAAGTCACTTTATAGTGTATAAGGTTGGCATCGGCCATTATCCACTAATTACATTAATATGATTGTCGAAATATCTGTACACCATCATTGTGCAATAATGTACAGTGTATACTCACACGCAAAAGAAAAGCAAGTGGTTTTAAGCAAATAGGTAACAAACACGAAACCATAAATTGATAGGAGTTTTAGCATGTAGTGAAGCTTGATGGCGTTATCAATATTTTTATTGCATTTTGGAAGCCCCGAGTAAAAAGCAACATAAAAACCAATCGCCAAAACGCACCATTTCAATGAATATGTGGGTATCATGCACCCATTTCTCGCGAAATCGAAAATACACGAACTGTCACGAACTGTAGTGGGTATAAAACTGCGGCCGAACCAGCACGTCGTCCTGTTCTCCAACCACGGCATCGACAAGCACGACTTCAGTGGGCACAGGGTCATCGCAATTTGCGTCATCGTGAGTGGAGGCGTGTCATCTTCTCTGATGAAAGTCGCTTTTGTGTCTCCAATGCAGACGGAAGAGTCAGAATTTGAGGTGAGGTCGAGGTGATCGTTTTGCTGAAAGAAACGTTGTGGAAAGGGATCCATGGGGTGGATCTAGCGTCATGATATGGGCAGGGATTGGACTTAATGTGAGACTTGGACCCATGTGCTTTCTGAATTTTGGTCATGGTCGGGGACACGGCGTCACTGCTCAGCGGTATATCGACCAAGTGATCAGACCCCACGTTGTTCCATTTGTTTTGCAACAACACATTTTCCAGCAGGACAACGCTCGTCCCCATGTTGCCAGAGCTACCATGGCCTTTCTGCAACAACACAACATCCGTGTTCTACCGTGGCCAGCCCTCAGCCCTGGTTTGCTAAACACAACACAGAGAGGACGGAACTGTGCCTACATGTGAGATCGCAAATGCCGCACTGATCAGGAAGATCAAGAGCGACGCTAATAAAGCCACACACGGACCCGGAAACGACCTAATACAATGATGTGATCAGCAAACTGAAATCGATGACGTCGACAATGGAGCTACGTCACGGCTTGTTGTGTTCTCCAAAAAGATGACATCATAGATGGATAACGTCAACAATCAGCTGACGTCAGAGATGATCAGACTCTCTGCACTGCACGCGACAGACGGATGTGCTGCTTTCGGGAACCACATGTCGGCATAACAAAGGCCAGTACTGATCAGATGGCACTGGTGTTTGGATCAGGTAAGCTTATATTTTAAGTTCCTTGAGGTGAAAACATTCTTAATTGGTATCTAAACACTGTTGAAAGCTGAAAAGTGATAATGGCGCGCGTCCAGAAGACTGTTACGGCTTTTTTTTTATGTTTCATTGATCTTTACGTCTTTATTTTCTTGTCATTTCAATTGATTTGACAAAGTCGACGTCGATGTTGAAGCTGTCCCACGCGGACGTAACCTTTGACGTAATTTAATAGTCTACCAATGAATTAATTTTTCTGTTTTCATGCGACGCAAGCAGGTCATCAAAACATGTTATACATGCTAGTCTAATGATGAAGCAGCCACAAGACTATGGTTACTGAGATTAATAACGTCTGACAACCGTCCCAAATGCCTGGATTGTCTGTTTCGGGAGGTGATTGTATATTGTCAATATTGCAGGAAATAAAGGCTTATGTTTTGGAATACGTTGGTCGGGATCCTTTCCTGTACATCTCTGTCGCAATCAGTGAATGAGAAACACTGTGTTGCTTTACAATACCCATCTGTAGTAACCACGAAGTGCTACAGAGTACAAATATTCCAACGATTCCTACATGCTTTGAAAAGGCAGCAATAGATGCGGATGTAGGTGTAACATGACTTCTTTTGTTCATGATTTGATGAGTAATCGCTTGAATGAAGCTAAATGCAGTCTGGTATTAATTTTTGTAACGTATTCTCGGTGGGCGACCATGGAGATCTCATCATAGACGATTCGTTGACGCATTGACGCATGGTCAAGAGGCATGTCAGTGTCCTCCCGGCTCTACATGTCCGTTTCCGGGAATTGATTGGTGATGACTAGTGCAGTTTGCCTGTACTTTGTTAGCCGCCTGCGCTAAACACAACACAGAGAGGACGGAACTGTGCCTACATGTGAGATCGCAAATGCCGCACTGATCAGGAAGATCAAGAGCGACGCTAAAAAAGCCACACACGGACCCGGAAACGACCTAGAAAACAATGATGTGATCACCAAACTGAAATCGATGACGTCGACAATGGAGCTACGTCACGGCTCGTTGTGTTCTCCAAAAAGATGACATCATAGATGGATAACGTCAACATTCAGCTGACGTCAGAGACAATCAGACTCTCTGCACTGCACGCGACAGACGGATGTGTTGCTTTCGGAAACCACATGTCGGCATAACAAAGGCCAGTACTGATCAGATGGTACAGGGTGCCGTTGTACAAAACAACCTTAGCGCTAAGGTTACCTTATATCCTTAGTGTTAACCTTAGGCCTTTACTAAGGTTGACCCCCTGTTGCATGAAACTACCTTACGCTAAGGTAGCCTTAGTTAAGGTGAAAATTTTAAGGTTGGTCAGACCCAACCTTAGCCACGCTAAGGTTGATACTTCATTGAATTTCAACATGGCTACTTTCTTGTTGATGTGTGAGGAATGATAGATACACAAATTTGATCTCATTTACAAAGTAACGATGCTGCATCAGCTAGGTTGAATGTATGGTAAAACTTACTTTGCGGCTATTGCATCCCACTCCCTCATTTTGGATTGATTAGTGATTGTTGAAGAAAATGCGCCGAATAAAACATGGCTGCGACACTTGACTTCATCGGCCAAGAGTGTCAGCTTACTTGATGTAAAGTTTGATTGCCGACACCGTTTCTGTGCACTGGTAGACGGCTGTGTCATGTTGAAGTAGCAATATTAGTCGTCTGCAGATGCGAGCAGGGGAGATAACTCTCAACCGTAACTACGGACATAATTGAGTCTCCCACACTAAAGAGTTCAACCTTAGTTAAGGTTGCCGCTAAGTATCCTGTCCACGTTAAGGTTGTTTTGTGCAACGGGCGTAACGTTTTGATAAGGTTACCTTAAGATTAACCTTAGTAACTAAGTTCAACCTTAGTAAAGGTTGTTTTGTACAACGGCACCCTGGTGTTTGGATCAGGTAAGCTTATATTTTAAGTTCCTTGAGGTGAAAACAGTTTTAATTGGTATCTAAACACTGTTGAAAGCTGAAAAGTGACAATGGCGCGCGTCCAGAAGACTGCTACGGCTTTTTTTATGTTTCATTGTTCTTTACGTCTTTATTTTCTTGTAACACGTCCCATTTTAATTCTGGAAACCCAAAAGTCCAGAAACTCTACGGACTTTGCCCAGTCTCGGTTAAAGGTATTTACAAAATTAAACATGCCGTTTTCATGGGAACATACCAAGGAAAAAAAAAATTGTTTAAAAACTCAATATTTAGACTATGTCGCCCATGGGATATGTTCCTTTACTTAAAACTCATCTTTTTGTTTCGCAAATACATTTAATGTATTCATTCAAGTATCATGACACAAAATTAAACTCATTTTAACTTAATTCAACGATTTTATAGCGATATTGAAATATTTCGCCCATGGGCGAGAAAAAGGTTTGGCCCATGGGCAGGCCCATGTGCGAGAACATGTTCCTTTACTCAAAACCTATGTTTTTGTTTCGCAAATACATTAAATGTATTTATTCAAGTATCATGACACAAAATTTAACTAATTTTTACTTAATTCAACTATTTTACGGCGTTATTAAAATATTTCGCCCATGTTTTCGTCAGTCCCTTTCCAGCATCAAATAACTGTTTGCAAAGTATATTGTATCATGTGAAATATACTTTATATCATATCATTACATTACTATTTAAAAAGGGCATTTGGTTGGATGTTTCCTTTAGTTCTACAAATTTCACCTGTTTTACATATTGTAGCGATCTTTAATGAACCCGGCCTTACCTCTCAAAACGTTTTGACAGTTTATCATACGAATTCATGTGCGTGTATTCCAATTCATTGGAGTTATTTTCCACAACATTAAATTTTAGTTAGTTTCTATTTCATTTCCCATTTTATGT